CTTTCAGTGAACGTTAGGCAGCAAAATACCTTTGAAGTTTCATGCTCAGATTTATTCTTTCTGTGAGATTTGGGCCAGAGCTATTCCCAAGTGAGCAGATGATTAACTTGAACTTTCTACTAGACTGGAGATGTAATAGTACACTGACTTGCAGACCCTTCTGCTGCGATTAGATATGGTCCCACATTTTTATAGTTCCTCTGACTTTTACAGCCCATGCCTATTAAGAAATTAAGGGGTCCGCGATTGCTGTTGTAGCACAGGACCAAAATCTACATGCCAATTTGAATCAACTTATTCTAAACTCTGTCCCCTGAAGAAAAAAAAAAAAAACAACTAACATTGCTCATTTAATCTGTTTTTGTTCCTGTGGGCAAGGCTTACACACTGCATTTACTCATGCAAAATAATGCTGACAGCTTGTAACTCAGTCCCACTCCACGTGGCAATCGCAGCTGCCCGTGGGGCAGAGGGAGGCAGTAATTTGGGGAGAAGCAGCCCCTAGTGGTATTCCCAGATTTCGGCCCTACCTCAGCGGGAGTGCTGGGCACATCACCACAGTGCTGGGGTGGCACAGCCCTCCAGGGCCAGCAGGATGGGGCAAAGCACTGCCTGCCTGGGTAAACAGGGAAGTCGCAAATAAGAGCAGGGAGGGGATCATCTGTCTTTATTTTTTGCTGCCACGTTGGGATCCGGACTCACATTGCAGAGAGATGGAGAAAACGTGGAGAAATCCACCCCCCCGATCATTTTTCTGTGAGAAAACGCCCTCAGATTTTAAAGCATGACAACAGCCTAGGGCTCTATAGTTTATAGAAAAACACGATTAGGAGGTGTCTGGGTGCCAATTTTTAGCTAGATCTCTCTCCCTCTCTCCCAAAGCAACTATTGCATACTCAGGCTGCCTATTTGCAACCCAACTAGTACAGGGAACCAGCTGCTGGCAGCACACCAGTTTCTTTGTGGACATTTCCAGGTCTAATCCCTGGTGCCCGTGTCTCCCCAGGGCCGTAGCTGTCCCAGGCAGGTCTTTTCCCAGAGGAACCTGGACTATGCACACCACTCTGCAGTGCCTGAGATACACGCTCTGTGTGTTTTAGCAGGAAAGTAATAAGGGCTTCAGTGCTAGAATATAAACAGAGCGAGCAATTTATAAGGTAGAAGTATTTCCAGGATGGAGCCTGGCTTGGTTCTTGCAGGAGCACAGGAGTTTCTCAGCTTTTTGCAAGGCAGTGCCACAGCATCTCTGAACCCTCGAGTGAATCACAGGGGAAAATGATGAACGTTCCTTCCAGCTTTCTAACAGAGGTTTTCAATAAATGTGCCATTTATCTGCACCAGCTAGGTGCTCTCTACCAGGAGGATGATGCATCCACAGGGCTGTAGGGCAAATAAGAGGGTGGAGGAGGAGGGAGGGATGGGGCAAGGCAACCGTAGAGGTGAGCCTGGGGGCTTCTGTGGGTGGGAAAGCTGGGCTCAAGCTGGGGGCCAGGCTGCTGGCTGGGACACTGTAGAGGTGGAGAGGCCAAACCTCAGCCTCTGCCTTCCAAAAGGTTTTCAGGAAACCAGCAGGGCAGGGCTGGGAGCTGTTGTTCCTCCCCATGGCTGCCCCAGGGGCCCCTACATTCCTCCAGGAGGCCTGCCCTGCCTGCTGCCTGCTCTGCCAGCCCTGCCTGCAACCTGCCTTGCCTGCTGCCTACACATTTAACCCCCAAGCCGCAGGGGCAGCCTGGAGGCTGGGGGCAGCCCAGGTGCCCACCCATGCAGCCTGGGTTGGTGCATACCCTGCCCCCGGGGTGAGGGCAGAAGTGGGTCTGTCCAGACCTGGATGTTTTGCTCCTGCTGTGGTACAAGTGCCTACTACAGGGCATGATCTCTACAGGGAATTATGCTAAGAGTATTAATCAACACTAATTTAATTAACACTAAGGGCACAGAAGGCCCAGGGCAGTACAGGGACAGCTTTCCACACTGCTTTTCAGAAGAGGTGTGGATGCTTTGCAGAAAGATGTCAGGGTCACATTCCTTAAATAGCTGCACTTGCAAGCATCTCTGGAGTGCTGTGGGCCCTGCTCACATGTGGGTAAACTGAGGCAGGGAAGGGTGTGACCTAGCAGGCCACACCCTGGGAAGGTTAGAGGAACCATGGGGAATCACTGAGATCCCAAACAGGAGTACAGGAAACAGCAAAGAGAGAAGGCTGCAAATCCCCAAGGTGCAGCAGTTCTGTCTCCCTGAGAAAGGCCAGAGCCAGGTGCCAAGCGCTTGGCTGCTGCTCTGGGGCAGAGAACAACCTTTACCTTCCTTTCTTCAGCTTCTCCAGGTGCCATCAGTGGTGGTGGAGACACTGCTCTCCCTTTGCTGTCACTCCATAGTGCCAAACACTTGCTTTTGGTGGCTACAGAGCTGCACCACAATAATACAGATAGCTCTGTTGGTTTTCCTTCCCCTGCTCAAAAGAATATGGAATGTTTTGTTTTCTCCATTTTCTACTGAAAAGAGGCTTTTATCAGAAGAAGAATTTGCCTGGAGAATTTTCCAGCTCTGTTTCCCTGCCTCTTTATCAGTGCATTAACACAAACAGCACTGTGACCTTTTTAACCAACATATGTAGCCTTCAGTAATGCTGGGCTGGAAGCACTCCACAGGTCAGACGACATCCTGCCATCAGTCATCGGCCTCACGTGGCTTGGTGGACTTCAAGTGGGTTTGCCAGATGCAGTCAGTGCATCCACCCCGTTCTTCTTTGCATGTCCTAGGAGAAGCTCTCTGACTAACAGATGTTTTTAAATGCTCTTTCACATGGGAAAATTGGGAAGTATATGTTTTTACTGCACCCTTGCTATTTCATCCAGCCACGTGGATCTCCAGGGATGGAGACGTACTTAAGAAAAATATTCACTTTTAAAAGCTTCCACAGATTTTTTTCCCCATACTTTTTTGCCTTAGCCAGCCTGGCAATGCACACTTGTATTTCTGTTTTGCGGCAATTAGTAAGATTTGCTAATTACACCGCCGTGTGTTTAAAGACAATTGATTTCCCTTTGTAGCAGAAAACAATTTCCTGTTATGCCAATTCTCTTAATCTTCATCAGAAACGAACCCAGGCTGCTGTTGCCAATAATGTGTCATGTTCCTTTATTAAATCAGTCTCTTCTCTGCCCCAGTTGTGTGTCCTGTGTTTATTATTCCTGATCAGTGGACTGGATCACCTACAGCTGTTATGACTGCATGTATTTCGCTTCACATATTGTTGGCAACAAACAGAGTTATTGAAAAGCAACTCCCCTTGCTCGGCAGCTTGTGAGTCTCTTCTGGCAGCGGGAAGTGGGTGTGCTGGGAGATCCCTGGACCTTTTATGCTCGGTTTTGGCACGTGTAAAAAACTACTGGCAGATAAGGAAGTTCAGAGCCTTAGATGTGAGTGTGGGCCGTCCCCTTGCAGCCAGCCCAGAGAGCGTATCTAAGAGAGCAAGCACAAAGGCACACATTTCTGCTCACATAAATGTACAGGTTCTGTTTAGACTTATATTGAAGAAGACCAGGCTTCTCAAATAAAAGAACTTCTTATGCCCAGCACAAGCAGAACGTGAATATTCAACTCATTATACTTAAGCCTGTTCCGTTTACACGTTCCTTTGCTGAGTGAGCAAGTCGACAGCCAAAAAGGGAGACCAAATTGGTGTGGCCCAGGCAGATGAGCATGCAAGGAAATGTCCTCAGTTTTCAATACCGGAGAGTACTTTTTGAGATCCAAACATCTCACAGGTTTGGGTCATGTTCACCTGTTGACTTTGACTCGAGTTTGCAGCGTCTCATGGCCAACGTAAAGGCTGGCAGAACAAAAGCAACGAGGACTTCTTTCTGCAGTGTTGCTACATCCAGGCAAAAATACTCCTATTTAAAGGCACTAGCAACTTACAAAGCCAGGAAGAACTGTTCAAACTCTCTGACTACACAGAACACTAGATCTGACTTTGTCTGGGAGATGATGCTGGTTTATGGCTCTCCAAGGTTTAAACCAGACCTGAATTTACCCAACCCAAGGTTGACTTGAGTGAGAGAAGTACCATGAGACTCAAAGGTTGTGTGTGATTCAGGGCCTCCTGGGACAGACAGGGTTAGTGCATTGCAGACTGCTTTGTGGTACTGGAAAGTCACATTGTTCAGGAAAGGGGAAAAAAAGTCCCACCTTTACTCCACATGTCAGGGAAGATCTCTTTTATCATCTGGAGTGCAGATGAGAGCTCTGATCCTGTTCCCTCCCGCCCAGAGATAATATTCCAGTTCAGTTCTCCTCCAGCTATGGCTGGGACTTGCTAAAATCTCCCTCTGATCTGCTGTGATCAGCTTCATCCCTCTGAGACACAAACTCCATTTCATGAAAAAATTCCAAAACCCACAGTGTAGTTCCAGCAGCATTTTTTGAAGTGAAAGCAGATGTTACCTGGACTGACAGAAGCCAGCGGGATAGTGAGCATATTCACTGCTCAGGTTCCGTGCTGATGGATTTGGCTGCACACTGAACACTTGTCTTACAGCACAGTCCTTTGATACAAAATCAGCTCAGGTCATAATAGGAGAGGAGTGAATCAGAAAAAGCATCCAGCAAAACCAGTGTATGTACTCTTCTGAGTCAGTAAATACACATAAATAAAGCCAATCCTGCCTTTGTAAACTGCAGTGAGTATTGCAAAACTACAAAACCTCTCCCAAACAAACAAAAACCCCAACCCTGCACTCATTTATAACCAAGCTTTTGGAAAAATCTCATGTCCTGCAAACCTCCCTAGGAAGGAACGACCAGCCAAGCACTAGTTAACATTCTTTCTGGTTCATGTTGATTGTAAAAGGTTTAGAGAGCGGGAATAGCTTTCTGTGAGGCTTTACAGTGAAGAAGGAGAGAGTGTATGACCTGCATTATCTGTGGAAATTCTCCCTCCAGAAGAAACAAGGAGGCTTTTCAAAGTCAGATCAGAAAGAGCCATCATTAACCAGAAGTCAGTTCTGAGGCATTACTTTAATCTGGTAAGAGAGCACACAGAGCTTATTTCGCACCAAATCTCCACGTTTGGCCTCTGGTGAAGGACATGAAAAATACATGCCTGTAGAGCAACACCCCTGTATAGATTTTTTTTCAAAGCACAGGCGGGACAACCTGGCTAGAGAACTGTCTCAGCTAGTGACCTCAGCCGTAACAGTGCCCATTAATGTGATGTCAAAAGCCCCACTGCCTTGCTGCAAAGCAGCACTGGTGTGTCCATGTCACCTCAGTCAGTGGGGATGACTATGAAGCACCCGTGACAGATAACACATTCTTCCACACAGTGGTGTCTTTCAGCACATTTCAGTGCCCCCATCACCCCAGCATCTGAGATCCTTTCTCATGAAATCAATGGCATTGGAAAAGTACTTAGTGACTTCTCAGGACTTTGCCAGCTTTTGTTTCTCCAGAATCAGTATTTGAAGGCTGGACTTTCTTGAAATTTAGTCGCATGAAAAATCTTGATTAGAAAGTGCGGCAATAATTAGTTTTTAAATTTGAAATTACTTAAAATAGAAATTCAGTGCCAATTGGACCAGTGCAATGACCAATCTTCTATCACCTTGAGCCACAGGATGATGAAAATGCCCTTTCTGTGTCATGGATCCTTTTCTTGCAGTAGTTTGTCCTGGGTCTATCCCACTGGGTTTAGCAAACCTCCCACATCATCTTTGGTTGATCATTTCATGGAATAAGGACAGTGGCACCAAGTCCTTTTTAACGTGTGCAATGAACACAGAGCAATTCTACTGATCACCCACTGGCACTTTCCTTCTCACTTCTCAAGTATCCCCCTCCCAGATTTAAAACTCCCACACTATTTACCCCCTGAACTCTTCAAAAGGACACAATCTCTGGTAACGCCAAATACCATCTTCAGCATAAAGATGCTGTGTGACACAAGTAACAACTGTGAAATAAATGAGACTTCTGTGATAAGTTATTATACAAAGGCTTAGTGACAGGCTACAGCCTGTGTCTGATTACTGGGCCCATCTAGGCACAGAGCAAACCTGTGAGTTACAATTATTGTAAGAAAAATGGCAGTCGTGCTTCAGAGCAGGTCAACCTTGTAAGAAATGTCAGCAGCTGCCAGGACAACTGCACAGCTCTGCAGCTGGCACCTCTGCCGTCTTTCAAACATACAGTTACCAGGGGATTAGGCTCTGTCACACTGCCTGCATCATCTCTCTCACTCACTTTTTCACCGCCTTTTTTGTATCCTCTAGACCACACTGAATTACAACTTACTGTAAACACACTGGCGTGACTTCTGACCGTATACTTTTTGTGCCATCGCTGTTCACACTACCTTTCCTTTTTTAGCCTGTAGAAATCCATTCCTTATTTTGATTTTTGCCTGAATCACCAAGTGACATCTACAATTCACTTCCTCAGGCAAGAGCAAATACCCACAAGTGCTAACAGCAATCAACACTGTGGGCTGCTGCCCGGCCCTGCAGTGACTGCAGCTTTTGTTTAAAGGCACCACAGGGCTGCTGGGCTTACAACATCTTTCTTCATCCTTGTAAATTTTAAAAGTTTTTATTTACACCAAACATGTCACCTTTTCCCCAAAGAAAAACTCTGTTAAAATGGTTCCACAGAGTGTGTTAAACTTTTATACAGAAAAGAAAAAAAAAAAAGCAGGACTGTGCTGTGCCACAGATTTTACTTTAAAGGATCCCTTTCATAGTCCCTTTAAGGGCTTCTGAACAGAAGTTTTATGAATTTATAACAACATATATGTCAGGCAGACACTGGAATTCAAATTATTTTAACTCCAACTAAAGGCCTGTGTTTGAATGTCTGAATGCATTCCTTTGTGGCTCAGATTTCTGGATGTTAAAACTGCAAAGACCGTATCTTCATTATAAATATTCCATTTCTTAGTCATTCTTGTGTCGCAGGACTGCTGGAGAGAAAATCTGCACAAGTGTGGTCCAGGAGGAAGCAGAAATCAGAAGAGTTTTGTTGCAGAAGTAGGGATGCCAAATGTGCTCGCTGAGCCTGGCATCTCTGTTATGCAACTACATCTTTGGTACCAAAAATGCATAAAAGCAAAATGAATATTGGCATTGCTTAGCTAGTACCTACGCGTGATCTGTCTTGATCCTAGTTGCTTAGGATCTATTGCACTTATATTTACTGCTACGTGGGAGATTTTTGTTGGTTTCCTTTTAATCTAATGCAGAGTCTGGATGCCTGCTGGGCTGGAGGGTTACTACAGATCTCTGTATTTGCCTAGTTGGTCATTACTGCTGACTTCTTAACTGTCAGGATGGCTCATAAATGGCCGGCTTATTGGACTAGTCAGTTTAATGACTGTTAAAGAAAAGACATTCTTTCACAATGAACCCTATAATTGTTTCTTTGCGAACTCTTTTTCAAGCATTTGCTAAATCCAATAAACATTTCCATGTGGATGTAACACCAGTGCAGCATACAAATACCAATTCCAAAGGGTTGGAATGAGGCAGGAGAACGGTTCTGCATTTTATGATACTCTGATTGATTTTTAGAGACATGATGGTTATTTTCACTTCATGAACCCCTCAGGAAAAAAAAAATCAAGTTTTACGAGGTAGGCACTACAAGAACTAGTAGAGGCAAAAAGCACGCTGTCTGCCTTCCCTGCTGCTGCATTTCTAGCAGCCAAATCAGCCCTTTCTTGAATCCCCCTAAAGTCTCTGAGATGGCTCATGCGTAGGAAGTAACTTTCATTCCATTCCAGGCAGAAACAACCATCAGCACTTTGCTGAAGTTGAACCTCTCATGTATATGCCAACACAAATATGCCAGCTAGGAAGGAGAATCCTGGCAAAAGCAGGGCTTGGCTAAATAATCTGACCTTTTTCTTGGCTTGGCTCTGAAATTTGTGTGAAATGTATTAAACCACCCCATTCTGGCTACCTGCTGTGCCCAAGGCTATTGGTCAGTGCAAAGAAATTACTTTTTAAACTAACACACTGTAGTAACGTTTTCTTAAAGCTTAAAATGTTAGTTAAAGGTAGGGTACCCAAACATGAGATATAGGGAGCAAAGCACACCTAATATTTGGGGTAGCACAGACTCATGGCACTTGTTTAGTCCTGGAATCACATTCATTCCAAGCCAACTTTCCGACAGGATATATTCCTGAGCTGACACTAGCCCCCATGAGCTTTATAGAATTTACATTCTGTTACAATTGTTTAGTTCTTCTGCACTTTCTTCACATTCTCCCAGAGAATATGGACAAGCAGCATCTTCCTATGACACAGTAAGAAACTTTATTTCTGCACATTTCTCCACATTGAAATGAAGATTTAGCAGCAACCTGATTTTAATAAGATTTCTTCCCCACCTTTGCATGAGATTGAAATAACCGTAACTGGCATTTTTGGTTTCACCTTAAAAAGGTTCCAGCTTCCTTTTGCAGCCCAGCAGAACCTTTGCTATTCTTGCACTAAGAAGTTGATGAGGGCAGTTCTGGGAGACAGAAAAGCCTTTTTAATGGTTCGTCCCTGGAGATGCTGGAGTCCAAGTTCGCTTTGAAGAACCAGCTCACGGACTTCTTCAAAATTGCGGGCTGCTTGCTGAGGCACAGAAACTTTGCCACAAGCTTTGTTATTGATCTGAAAAACAGACATGAAAACAGGAAAAACCAGAAGTTACTAGACTGATTTCTACAATTTCATTTTCTGGATCCAATCCCCCGTTACACAAGGGGGAAAGTGGAATAAACTCTCTCTCCTCCAACACCAAACTTTCTGAGTAGAGGATAAAATTCTTCCTATCTTCTCTCCATCTATCGTAAAATAAGAAAATGAAACTCTGACTCATGATACTCAAAAAAAAATTGAAGAAGTGGCCACAGGAAGTCTTAATTCTGAAGACAGCATGCAGCACATGACTGTGCAATGAAGTGATCTTTTAATTTTAAAAGCGTGACAGTTATATAATCTGGATAAATGGTTTGTCCAGTGGGAATCCTGGTTTGTACATACTTCTGGGCAGCACTTTGGATTCTTTACAGCTAAGAGGTGCCTTCCAGAGATTCAAATGCAAAATTTATTAGTTTTAGAAAAATAGGCTTTAACTTGTTATGTGTTGCCCTTGTACTAAATGCATGACTCATTAATCCAACACCAACCACAAAGATGTCAACCACTCATAAGGCAATGCTTTCCTGGGCTGGGCTGGTTTTCAGAGCAGCTTAAACGCTAGTTTTGCATCAGCAGGGCAGAATCATGTAAGTAAAACTAAGCAAGGCCTTCAGTGGGAATTACCTTAATTTATCAAACGGTTTTATAAATCCTTTCTGTCATCCAGTAAAAGAGCAGATAATGGACAGAGACTACAGAGCCTTACCGAGTACCTATCTGGAACTGGTGCAAAATTAATTATTACAAAAGCTTTCAGATTTATATGGACTATTTTTAGTGCATTAATGAGAAGAATATCAATCCCACATTTTAGAAAATGAAATAATTTTAATTTTTTAATCCAGTTAATCAGATTACTTGCATAAAAATCTGCTGTAGGTACTGCAGATCTCTGACCTTTAGGCATCATTGTAAGGAATTTTCAACCATCTAAAAGAAACATATGTTGCTTCATTCAGCTTGGACATAAAAATGTACACGGCTTGGTTTTCACCTGGATTTTTTCTGGGATACCTGTATGCAACGTATGACAGGTGAGAGAGACCCAGTTCACTTACCTAGTTTGTATTTTATTGAAAATAAAATAATCTGTGCAATTCTCTGAGAAAGGAAGTTGGGACAGATTTTTAAGGAACAAGAAGAAGTCTCAAATGCAGCAGGGATGAGTTACTTCTGCTTTTTGACTAGACCTGACATTAATTTGTGGTGATAACGTAGGTAGACTTTTAACTGTTCCTACATGCATCCATAATGTGACGTTGTAAAAGGCTGGCTGTCTTAAACTTTGCCTTCAGCACCTGGTGCAAAGTAAATCCCTTGAAAAACACATAGGAGTTCATTTTTAAAGCTTTTTGTGAAAAAGGAATACAAGTAATTCTTTCTGACAGGACACTTCAGAGAAGAAATGCACTCCACAGGAAAAAGAAAACAGTAAAATCCAAACAGATACAGTTTTGGTGAGAATATAAAGCAAGCTTCTCAGCTTGCTGCTAGGACACACAGTCTGCAGTTCAAAACTATGCCTGCTTAGTTAAAATGTCGTTCACTGCCCTCCATCATGCAAATTAATATGTCCCAGTGGATGGATGTTGGCAGGGGGAAATTTTCCACAGCTAGCCTCTTTGGTGCTGTTCTCAACAGAAAAGCCAAGCAGTCTAAATCAACTTGGTTAATAAATGACTGCTAGTGGTTGTGTTTTCCTAGAAAGGTCGAGAAGCTTGGGCGACCTGGCACTGTGTACCTTCCCACAGCACGTCTCCACCTTCCCACAGCATGTCTCCTGATCTTCCCACACTGCCCTGTGAGCTGAGCCTGAAACTCCTATCAAACAGCAGGTTGGTTACGATTTCACCACATTTGCAGCATGGCTTTCACTGTATTGTAGACACCATGAAGCATTTTAACACTACTCTTAAAATAGGCTTCTGCAGATATAATAGCACGCTGTGTGTAACAAGCATCCTATTCACATATCCTGTCAGTCGAGGGATTAGATTCTCAGCAGGACAAATACCTTCTGCTATACATCCATCTCTCTCTCTGTACATCACTAGACCAGCATAACCCTCAGCACTTCCAGATAAAAGTGGCAGAACAAGAAACTTTGATTCTGGCAGCTGTGTTTCTCTAAAAAAACATGCCAAACTGCAAGAGGATAAATACATGAGTATTTGGTCCTTTCTTCCCCCGAGAAAGGAAGCTGTTGCTTTTTTCTTCTTTCCCCTCAACTTTTTTTTTTTTATTTTTTAAACATTTGACATTCTAGGCTATTCTGGATCTACAGGGAGCTAGTGGGAACTAGAGAAGTTATAAAAGATGAAATGAAATAACAAGAGACTGAAAAAGAAGCACCTGGAGGCTGCAGGGAGGAATTTCTAATTCAACACAAATATTTTTTTACCACTCATGCATAATCCTTCTGAGAAGTAAAAAAGAAAATAAATATCTGTGCACTGTTAGGCCTCCCTCATAGGCTAAAGCAAGGAAAATAACACCAACTTTTTTTTTTTTTATTTGTAAAAACATCAGTTTTAAGATCACATCTGCTAACAGTTCTGCAGCACCTAGAAAATGCAAGGAATGCTAGTCAGAAGTGTGCTCATAGGATGAAATGCACACTACATTCAGGTCAGATTTTTCACAGCATTAATAATATACAGTATGATTAAAAATACTTGACTTTGCAATAACATTTAAAATAACAGATACTGCACATATCCAGCAAATTTAAATGTCTTTCTTGTAGGCAATCTGTATTGTATCAGCCAAGGATACAATGAGTTGGTTGCTTTTGCTGCTTTGGTTTAAATATGGAAAGAAATAACTCCAGCACAGACAGGAAATAATGAAGTATTTTTTTGTGAAGAGAAATAAAACCAAAATGTCTCAGCAGGCGAATCCCTGGCAGCCTGAGGCAGTTTGATGTCTTGAGAAGAATAGGGTTGTGGCCCAAAGACTCAGTTTGACTGTACAGCCTTGTGAAAAGACACTGCCTCTTTGCAACTAAGAAATCCCTCCATATGTGGAGTGTTTCTTGGTTTAATGAGGGCAATTTAGTTTTGCAGCCACATAAAAACCTACAGTGTCCACAAGACTTTATAATATTCACATTCCCTGCTCCCCCATATTTCCCTTTTGCCTTGCTCTTACAGTAGAAAGCCAGGCACACTCTGTGGGCACTATTGTTAGAACTATTCCCAATTGAAAAGAGCAACTTGTCTCCCTGGTCTTCCAGTCACTTTCTTTCTCCGAATTAAGGAAGGTATTTACATTCATCACATTTTTCTATGAATATATGACCGGAACACAGGACTTGTTTTTTTGTCTTATTACAAGACTGTTACACAAGGCTACAGCTTTGACAAAGTCAACTTGGAAAAAGAAACAAAAGTAATTTTCGTAATGGCTGTTTAAAGCAAAATTAATTTTTTTTTCTGGTTTCTGCTTTTGAAATGGAAATTTTAATGTCAGCAGAAAAAGGATCAGTGAAATGTTTACGCATTTTCATGTTTGGTTATGTAGTCTTAAAAACATCGAGTTCAGAGTTTTCCCTGTATTGTTGCAGTTGTTATTTCACAGATATATTTAATAACATGTTTGCTTTAACCACAACTGCAAAGACGTTTCTATAATTACACGATTTCTCATTCATGACTTCCTTATAAACCGAACACTGGAATTCAAGATGTTTGCTAGCTGTGCTTGGATGTGAAGGTTTATTTTAAGCTTGAGCAAAGTGATTATACCTCAGTGAAGATTTTTACTGGTATAAGTAAATGCTTATCACTTAAAGAAAGAAAAAGAGGGAAAGGAGGAAGAAAAAACCAGTTCATCCACAGTGACTGTAAGGCTAAGTCTGGTATTAACCCCAGCTGGCAATTGAGTCCTTCTCCTTGGTTTGGGAAAAGATGCCAATTGAAAATTTCCTTCAGAAATACATACTCCATGGCCTCCGTGAAGGGTATATGTTTAATGCTGGAAAAATTAGTATTTTAGCAGCATTTCTCATTCCATTCAAATAGGCTGAGAGATCTGACAAGATGTGAAATTATTTGCAAAGATACTTTGATTAAGGAAATCTACAGAAACATGACTTCCCTAAATTCAACCAGTCTCCTCCCTCCTCAGAAAACTCAGTTCAACAAAAATAACCCAACTGCCTTGCTCCTTCTCCCAAAGGAGAGAACAGAATAAAATGCAACTAAAATGCATTGTTTCTGTTTCTCTTACACACACAGAACATGGAGTTTTACATGTCAGTGTTCAGGAACACAAAAAGTGTTCAAGTTCAAGCATTTAATTTAATTTAAAGCATTTAAGTTTAGAATGTCTGCATGGTATATTAAAGGTTACTCTTTGGTGAATAGTGGAAAAGGCAGGAGTCCTGCAGATCTAATAGTATGCAACTATGTTAATTAAAGACTATCATAATGCCTGAACACGAAGAACTTAAAGGCAAGTCAGCTGATGGAAGAGCTGTTTATGGATCCCACACACTTGGCTCCAGGCACTCCCTCTATAGCTTGCAGTGGCACTTGTTGCTACCGTGCACTACCTAATGAGTTAACTAGAGACACAGGAAAAAAGACAGTAAACTACACTGTGCATGTGCACATAACACATGTTGGAAAATTACAGGTTAACTAAATGTAGTTATATGTCCACTCTTCTACTGAACTGCCAGCTCTTTCCCTAGATCACAAAGGTGTTAGGGCTCAAAGAGAAATTGGAATGCAGTTATAATATTCCCAAAGATACCTGTTTTTCCTCAACCTCATTCCTGCAAATATTCTGAAATATGCCAGAGATTGAGCTGAAGTCAGATGGGAAATATGGTTTGGCAAAAATCAAAACAATTCAACCCAGTTTATGAGAGGTTCTGTCAGGCAACCACAGCACTACAGGTACCACAAAAAATGTCACCTAATTATACTTTTTTGCACAGGGCCGAATTAATAAGTGCACTGTCAGGAGAAAAATCTGGAGGGACCTGTATTTTGACCATAGTTTTGACTCTATCGTCCTTGCCCATGGCTGTTCATTGGTCAAATCTCTACAGGTACTAATATGGAGTCACTCTGAAAGGTTTATACTTAGGTCATATCCATTCCAGACTTGCTACATTTTTTCATTTAGGAAACCATTTTAATTACTCAGCACAACTGTAATTGCAGTTTCTATTCTGAACTTTCACTGAGCCATCTAATAAGGGAACTGACTTCCACAAGAGCGGAGATTCCATCATCTTCTGAGCTCATAACACCTTACTTGGCCACTACTGAAAATCAACCAAAATGTTCTTACCAGTACAGACATCTCCACAACATCTGGTGGCTGAAGGTACTCTGGGTCTACTTTGGGCCAGGACTGATGCAGTACGTCAGCATCCCAGTGATGATGAGTACAAAGTTTATTCTGCATATGTGCCAAACCTGGAAAATGAAAACAGTCAAACATTCAGTGGTACAGTAACCAGAACATTTGATATTTGGAATTCGTTTGACAAATAAGATCAGGATAAAGCTGACTTTAAAAGCGAGTGTCGTAGGAGGAAATAACATTGTTTAGATTAGCATACAACACACTATAAACAGAAAGATATACATCTTTGAAGTGTTTGTTTTATACCATGCGTAGGAACGTTAACATGAACAATGTGGGCACATTGTAGATTTGAGTTAATACTCCATAACATTGCCATAAGCACAGAAGACCACTGTTTATTATTTTAAATTGTAATTTAATTTAAATTAATTTAATTTAAATTGTAACTGCAACAGAAGCTGACCTCTACTTCTAGAAGTCAATCATAATACTGCATTTGTTTTCAGTAACACCACCAGTTTGATTAAAATTTTACTAACAACTCAGAATGATAAACAATTATGGCCTATTATTTTACCACCTGTAACATGCTGGGTAGTTTCTAAATTTGCAAGTCAAGTGATTTGTAAGATTTTCTAGATTTTGTGAACTATATTTTCTCACAAATTAAAGGTGCTACAAAGGAATGCCTTGCACAGTTTACTCTCCTTCTTATGATTTTTACATTCTGAAACACTTTATCCTTTGATTTTATTTTTAGAAGTTCCTAAAATGGGTATAAATTATCTCCTTTTATTAAATAGACTATGCTCTTCCCAAGATAATTCATTCCTGATTTGTTTAAGTAATGGGAGAATAGGATGCAAGTAATTTTGAAGCTACATTCTTTAACAGAATAAAAGTTCCTGAATAGGGTTTATGTTGCTGTTTACTCCAGCTGTACAATAAAATAAAAAGTTTCACTTAGCAAGAGGCTGTCAGATATGATCATTATTGATGATGATTGCTCTTGTGATTCTCACAAAGCCAGGGGATTGTTAATTAAAAACATTCTCTGTGTATGAATAAGAACACTAACACTTTTTATAAGCACATGCTTCGTTCAGAACTGCAAAATGTATGTGAAATCTCATCTGGTTTAGGGAAACTCCAGCAAAAGCATAAAGAAAACCCACCAACACAGCATTCTCTCTTGATTGGGACTGAGGTACTTGAAGCTGTTCAAATCACAGCACAATGGCAGACACAGGAGCAAACCCAACCCATGCACAGTGCATACATGTATTCACTTGGGTGGATTGTTTAGACTAATACAGTGAATAACAGCAAACAAGGACATAAAGGGAATGCAACTTCCTCCAGAAAAATCCACCAGATTTTTGTCAGTGCTTTTTCAGACAAATGGCACAGCCGTGCTATTTGCTGAATGACTCAGAAAGAGGCAGTGGGGCGGACCGATGGGAGCTATTTCAAATGACAAGCAGGAACATGCACATTTCCTATTGACAACAACTATTTATTAGGTAAATATCTGATTAAAACACTTCAGTGGATCTGGTTTTGTGTATTTTTTTCTCTTGCAGCAGTAGCTCAGAAACCAAGAGAACAAAAGATAGAAACTAAAGATGAAAAAAAAAAATCTTCACATTGATGATTCATTATCACACTGACTTTAAAGACAACAGCTGTTAGATTCTTTCCTTTTTGGCTTTTGAACATCCAGATGAGCTCATTTCTTTCCAGCTGATCACATGCCTTGTGGCAGAAGCATGCACACTGGCCACTCCTTATTTTCCTGTTGAAGAGGATTCTTCAAACTATTTAAAACTCACTTTCTAATATAAGAGCTTCTGTCTACAAAAGCAAAACCAGTGTCACTTAATTCCGTAGAGGCTGTCAGTCCTAATAAACCTACCAATAAAAAAATAATTAAAATGTATTCTGAAGTAAAGTGTTACTAGGCACAATGTCAATTTTTTGGTTCATTTTCTTGCTACAGAATGAGCCATGAGCTCATCCATAGAAAAAAGAGAAGTACAAAAGTCAACAGAACAAGTTTCAGAAAACAGTTTGACAGGAAACCAAAATGAAAGTTTTAGTTATGTTGTCTGTTTGGCTTCCTGCCTTAATGCACATTTTGTGAACTGTAGAACACAGAAAACACAATGATTTGGTTTGTATTTTCAAAATTCAACACTCTAGACCAGAAACTTCATAGTCATGATCCAGAATGGTGATGGTCCACTTTTGAGGACCTAGACAGTATCCCTCTCCAGCCTTCCCACTTGATTCTGAGACACTAGACAAAAGCACTGTTTGAGATGTTAAAAACTGACCATTTCCCAGATTTTTATTGTGAAAGTATGAAAAACCCATTTTATTGTCTTACTGTACTGGAAACTGTCTAGTGGAGCGCATTTTATGAAGTGATGTGCATTTCTCTTCATATTTTTTAATGTATTTTGCTTCTATGGCTACTGATTTTCCTGTAGATGTAGGACAGAAAGCCAACTGAGTACATTTTAGTTTACTGTAAGCTGTTTACTTATATGTACCCATCTGTACAGGACAGATCAAAGACAATACTTGTGGCTCAATCTGAAGCCCTGATCCTGCTACTGGATCTGCTTCAATGGAGTTCTCCTGACTAGCAAGCTAATGCTAGAGGCAAGGTTTCCCTAACCAGTAACTCACAGCATTGAAACACAATTGAGTTGAGAGGAGGGGACAAGACCAGTCTAACAACTTTTCAGCTCAGGGCAATGTTTTACGAGCATTACACGAGTATTTCATAAGCATAATACTTCCCTAAGGTGCTACTTGGCAGGGAAGAGCAGATTCTCATTTTAAAAAGATTTAAGACGGAATATGTGGAAGCAATTGTGTATCAGCAAGGTGTTAGGACAGCCAGGTAACTCTAGTCTTACAGACAAAAAAAAGCACTGTAAAAAATTATCTGTAAAATTCCGGCAATTGTTCAGCTATGTGGACACAAAATTATGTAGGCCAGAGGAAAAGCTGTGATTATGAAGTAAATTGAGAAAGAGCTGGCATGGGACAAGCACTGGCACAGAGAGGCTAAAGCAGAAAAGGGAAGGAGGATAAAAGCCTTAATGGCTGATAAAAGGAAGCTAATGAAAGCATCTGAAACAATGACAGTATCAGAGTATAGGACTAGGGATTTTCTAACAGAAAATATAAGGTCAGAGGGGAAAGTATAAGGTAACTATGAGAGCACATTATCCAAATGCTGCTAACTTTTGGATTTAGCTAAACGAAAAAAATAGAAATCTGTGTTAAGTAAAAATCCACTGGCAGACAAGTAGAAAAAGATTCTAAAAAGCTCAGAGCAGGAGTGTGTAAGGGCAAATGGGTAACTGTCTTACTCACCTCTGCAGCTTCTTTCTGGGATTGTTACCATGATATTTTGCTCTTAATATGCTTTTTACTATTTAATGAATCTCCCTATTTGGCAGATTCAGGCAAGTTGCATATCTGAAATACTTTTTTGCAGCTCAGGAAGAGTATGTCTGTCAGTCATATGTGAAACAGTCTGCAATCTCAAAGAAATGATAGCAGCTGTTTCCAGACAGCTCTGAGAAAAACTGTATCACACTACTGGTATATTAGTACAGAACTAGGTTGTGAAAAGCCTGGGTTACTATAAGCTAACTCTAGAATATGCTTTCAACCTAGCAAACTCCACGTGAATCCTTTTAACCTTCTAAAAAGGATCTGTCTTCCTCTATTTGATGAAATTGTTATAATTCCCTTCGGGTTATTCTCTTGGAGGAAAAAAAAGTAGTTTTTGAAATTTCAAATCGTGTTCCTTTTTGGATTTGTGATTTCCAACTGAAATCCACAACATCAATTAGTTTCCACTCAGCTCTATTCTTTACAGAAGGCTTCTTGAGTGAGGACTGAATTTGAAGGCATTCTTGCAGAAGAGCTATCATAGTGGCAGTTAAAATATTGCTAAGACAATTATACTATTACAAATTCCAAGAATTATCTTTCATTTCAATATATCCTAAGAAATGTTTATCATCAGTGTACATATCTTTCATGTCCCTTCTCTAATAAAAATTTAGCAGCTCACAATAAGCAGTTTCATATCCCTGTCTAAACAGCAAAATATTGTACTACTACAAACAAACTAAAAGAAAAAGTCTCAAATGGTGTCTGTATATTCCTTAGACACAAGGTTTCAGGAAGGAAACTGATTTCCTCATCCTGTTAGTATTCATGAACTGCCAAGATATCAGCCGGATGAACTCTTCCCACACTGAGGGGTTACAGTTGCTTTTTATGTTATTAAGCAATAAACCAGTGTATTCACTGCACAGTTAAGACCATTAGGTTGACACACCAAAATACCAAAAACTGTTCCTTCTCTAAACAGGAGAAAGAACTCCTTCACACACATAATATCAAAGCACTGGGTTGCTACTGTTCAGCTGCTGAAAGGTGATGCACTTAGGGAACAGCATTCAAGCAGCTTTTCCCTCATTCAAGCTGGAAATGTTTACTGCCAATACTGAAGCGTGCTCTTCAACTTGCTCACCAGACTCTTTGCTTCTACCCGATGCATTAAAACAAGATGGCCACATATAAACTAAACCCCATGGGAGAACAATTCTTCAGATGTAGATGAACAAAAATTGCTGTACATGGAATCTAATTTTACTTTAATTATACTTACATATTAAGAAAATACAGTGGACTGAAAAGCTAAAATTTCAAATGAACTTGGATGCAACTCTTGAAAAGCAGGACGGCATCATTACAATCAGATTTACTTATATCACTGATGCTAGTCATTACTTAAAATGTCAAGTAAAGCATCTTTAATTAACACCCTAAAATAATCTTTGCAATTTTCATAATATTTTCATTAGTTGGTAATCATTAAGGTCAACTGATTTGCAGTTAAATCTATATGCAAAGAATATTTTTGCTAACCAAGATGATAACTACATTCTTATTTATATACTTAGCTAAGTTTTAATTTTTACAAGCTGTTGTATTAGGAAATATTGATTTATACTTTTATTTTTTACATTTTATTGTGATATGTGTCAAATGGCTTTTAGATTGAAATGGTAGTAAATTATCCACCATTTTCTGCTGCTTAAATATAAATGCATTCAGAATGCAAATATTTAAGAAAATGTGTTTGATACTTCACATTTATTGTATCATATTTTACAGTTAAGCATTATTTTTTGAGAAAAAGGAAAATCTTTTATGTAATTACTGAATAAAAGTATCAGATGTTTTTGACATCAGATCCCTCAAGATTTTAATATTTACAGATGATAGCCTAGTTTTCTATTCCAAAACTAGGAAAGGAAAACCAAAATGGTTAATATTTTTCAGTTTCCAGAATACCTGTCATTTAAACTGAAATATTACTTTTTGCACCTGCAGAACAGATTCCAGTTGTCAAAAATAATTTTATTACCTCCACACAGTCTCATTCCAGGTGCTTAGCCAGAAAGTTCTATAGCTCTGTGGTTTAATTGTCTTCAAATCTTTGGCAGAATTAATATAATAAAATACATTAAGTCAGGGTTTTATTGTAGGTTGCCATTATTTCACACAGTTTTAAATTCTATTGTATTTTCTTCTTAAATGTATCTTGGCCATAATCAATGATCAGAAAAGCATAAAATGAGAGATTACAATGCAACTGTAGAAGTATTATTCATTCTGTGATGTACAACACAAACAATAAAAATTATAGAGAATGCTCTTTTCTTCTCTCTTTAAGATTGTAGTAAATGAGTATTAAGCTTATCTCACTATGTACTCAACCCTTTCTAAAGAGAAACACTAATAAGAAAGTAAAATCCTTTTTATTCAAAAACCAAGCTTGAATACACAAGGAAGTGTATCGTGGTTCAGAGTTGAGACATGTCAGTGTTCCTACCAGCATTCCTATTCAATTGCAAAATTATCTGGTTGACATTAACTAAAGGGCTTCCAAATTTCCCAGTTTCACTTTCCCCAGTAGAAAGAAAAATGCTGCTTGTTTTAATAACTAAAATGTAAAGAGTGTATACCAGTTATTTTAGAATGAAATATCAATTTTTAATTCTAAATAGTTTGCTTATGTGTTGTTTATTATTGGCATTACAATGGCAGATACAGGCTTCCATCAAAGAGTGGGGGTCCACTGCTATAGGTGCTATTTATAGAGTTAACAATATACAAACTCCTTTTCCTGACTAATTTACAAGACAGGAAGCAGCATTATCCCTAGTTTTAGATGCAAAGCCAAGATACAAAAGGAGAGACTTACTCTGAGTGTGTATGGAGAATTAAAGCACAAAAAACCCCCTAAACAGAGTACTTAGAAACCTTAATTTTCATATTGAAATTCTTAAAAGTAAGAAAGCATCATTACCTATACATAAAGTTTAAGAAATTGGTTACATCAGAAGTGCAACAGGACTTGGTTGAACCAGAATGCAATTCAAAACATGAATCTGAGGAATCTTTAAGACTATAGTTGGGTGTTTTCCACCAGAAATCCCAATCCCAGGACAGAATGGCTACATGTTGGCTATTTCAAAATAATACAGTCTTCTTACCACAATGCAGCGGTTAAATGTGTATGTTCTCCTAATAAAATTGTTTAATAACTTTGTTATAATATAATGATCACCATGACAAAAGAGATTGTGATTTTCAAGTTTAGTAATAAAATTCTTCAGGCAATAATCACCACATGGTGATTTTTTATGACTGCTGCACTGAATTACAATGCATAGTCTCTGGACCACACAAGTAAAATTATACCTTTAAATGCAGACAGAAGCCAAGGAGAATACACTTCCAATTTTTTTTAGGCTTCCTTTTCATTCTGATACCACAGGGAGATCCAGAAAATTTTTATCATTCTCATTCTCCAGTGATTTGATTAGTAAGAAAAGACTCCCTTATCTAACATTCAAAATGTTACAGGATTAAGCTTTATGTTCGACAAACTGTTAATTAAGACACCCTAGTATTCTTTGTCATTTTATCAACCATGGTTGATAATTCTGCATTCCCTAACACATTCAAGTTCAATTCAAGTTCAGAAGGCACTGTATGTGTAAGTAATTATCCTGGATCTCTTCCTCCTCCATCTCAACCACTGTGGAAAACAAAGTTGTGCTGATTTCATTTAGTAGTATTGGTACTTCGCAGTATAAGAGGACATTGACCAGAAGTAGCTTTCTCCAGATGGATCATGTCTGATGCCACTCTTTATTCTAAACACTTAAGCCTCTATCAAGACATTTTAAAACCACTGGAAATGAAAACACACACAAAAAACCTCAATCCACTCTCCCTAATATATCCTGCTGATTCCATAGTCTCTGCCTCTGTCTTATTGCTCTGAACAAGAATAGTCTTTCCTTGGCAATCAACATTATTACAGGGCCACGCACAACACTGAAATATAATCAGTTTAGTAACACTGCTTGGTAAACACTTGAATGCACAATGTTTCAGGATGACTGTTGAAAATAAAACCATTAAAACAGCATCCAAAAGCTAATATTAGGTCCAAAACCACACAGCAATTTGTGGCCAGCCATAATGCAGAATATAGTCCTATCTTCCCACATATATCTTGGGACTTTTCCCAATAAATCTTAAAAGCAACTGCTGAACTCTGGCATGCACGTTCCTTATTTCACAGGCTTTAACTGTAGCAGCACCACACAACTCAGCCCACTTGGTATTCAGACCTGTACAACCGTGACAGATCTTAAAAAAGATGTCCTGTCTACCATTCCCATTCTTCACAAGAGGTTAATTTGCAGCATAACGTCCCTCAGTCTCTGCAGCATTCTACAAGAGAGGGTTTTTACTGAGCACTCCTTTAGTCTTTTTAGCATACAGCCTTCTGACATGGTTCTCTTTGCCTGAATTCCTGAAAGAAAATATTTGTAGTCCAAAGATTCTGAAACAGTTGTTTGAAAAAGGGCTGTTTCTGTCCTGGTGTTCAGCTCTTAATAATGCCATCCATATTCAGGAGCAGTTAGCAGTTGACATATAAATTCCTCATGCAAGTCCTGTCTTGAATTTTTTTTCCTTCTCCCTTTCTCTGCCTTTCAGGGTTTCAAGAAATCCACCTTTGTATGTGAGGAGAAAGAAACTAAAGGCAGAAAAGAGAGATCTGGGACTGCCACAAGTTCCAAGTTCGTTTAGGAATTATGATAGAAAGTGACAAGATAAACGAAGAATTTAGGGATAAGTGACTCATGTACTAACTTAAAGACATTTTTACAAACTTTTTGTCTTTTCTCCTGGAACATCACTATAAAGTTTATTTCTATAAATACCTTTCCACATTTCTGATGCAATGTGTGGAGCCATAGGTGCAACCATAATGCAGAGGGAAGCCAAGGCATCTTCAAATTCAGTGCTGTGGAGAATAAGAGGCTGAGGAGCTTGCTAAATGAAAAGACAAGGAAAAGAAAACAAATTGTTAACATTCTGAAGTGTGTGGGGGAAGTAGTTTAATTAAGAAGAAAATGCAGTAATAAAAACTAAAATCAATGTCTTGCTTAGGACAGTGTCACATCACAATAAATTGGAAACTTATGAAAAGTTCTGGAGAATTAAAATCACAGCTCTTGGTGCTCTCTAACACTTAGAAGCTAAGCCTGAAGTGGCTGATGAAGACCCTTGGGGATCTGCTCTAGCACAGGAGTCTGAACACAGACTCATATGGACAACAGTGGTCCTCAAAATAATTTTGAGTGCTTCCATTTCAAGAAGTGCAATCTTAGATAAAACCAGAGCTATCTGAGAGGAGGTGAAGTACTTGTATAAGACAGTCACACAGTGCTGGATGCAGCATGGGTTTTGTTGGGATAAGGTTTGGTTGTACAGGATCACAGAGTGGCTTAAGGCTGAATTTAGTGACAAAGTGAGGTTTTAGAGCTGAAGGAAGCTTAGGGAATGAAAAGCACAGCACACTCCTTTACTGTTTGATGTCCTGATTTGTTTTAGTAAAGTGTTCTTCTTCTCTAGTACAAAAAAATGTTCAATTTCTTGGAAAAGGTACTAGACTGACAAAACTTGAATCTTCATTCCTCTATTGGGACTTCAAAGAAAAGATATAGCACTAAAAGTAGTTGGATGAACTTTTTCTTTCTTTGAGTGAGAGATTACATCCTATGGTAAATTCAGCTGCTGCATTTATTTTGTAATCCACCCCTCTAATGAAACAGCACAGGAAAATGTCAGTACATGTCAGTTTATGAGAATTATTTGGTGGGAGAACACTCATTCCTGTCTACTAGAAAATTGTCCAAAACCAGTGATTTGCTTGACACAGACCACAAATGCTGTCAGAGGGCATCTTGTTATCACTGATACTAACAAGGTCAGTGCAAACTATATTTGAATAAGCTACTATCTGCTTTCTGTGTTTAATTCTTGTCCACCTCCCTACTTCCTCCTTTCAACTGGAAGTGAAAGGGCAAGTGTCAGTATGCTATATGGAAAGTTGTTCTTCAAAGATACTGCATTGACTTCTTTGGTCAAGAAACATGTCAGTGTTTAAACATCTGGCTGTCTGTAGGACATCAAAAACACCAGAGTATCCCAGGCTTAAGTTATCTCAGCACAGCACTTGTGCACAGTCTATTTAACTTTTTGTTAAGTTTCTTGATTTTGCCAGTAATCTCCTTGGAAACCTTAAGGTATAAAATGGTATTTCTATAAAGAAGTTGAAACTTTCAAAATTATATTTAATTTCTGTTCTAAATCAGGTTACCATTATATGCCTGAAGGATTGCTCAAACAGACCTAAAAGTATTAACAAAAGTAATGATAATAGTTTATTACATTTCATATATCACCACTGGCTAATATACAACATAATCTAAATTAAAAATGCTAAAGACTTAGGTTACTTTTACATCTGTTTTAAAAAGAGGAATTTGCAAACTGTCTTACTTGCTGACAGTTCAGTGGTATAAGCTGTCTTTGAGGAAAGTAAAATTATGTGTGATTTTCCTTGCAAAGATAACCCTTTTAAAATCAGAATGCTTGGTAATTCTGTAACATACTGCACGTAGCTACCTATGCATCTAGAACAGAACTAAACAAAATACATCCTTCTGAAATTACAGAATGCAGATGCAAACATCAGAATCTAATGGCTCTGATATCATCAAGTTCCTCCTGCAAAACCATATATATTTCAGGGTTACAGCGATACTAGAACGTGCTACTTTAGAACTGAATGATTCAACAAGGCTCTCAACTCAGTGTTTATGACAGTCAATGATTTACCTGTAGTTCAGGAGGCTCCTGCTTTGTATAAAGCCTAACAGGAACAGGGTGTGAGAGAAAAATACTTTCATGAATACCACATACTTACATGGAGTATATTAGTGAGGCTCATCAATCGGGAAATAGCTGCATTGAACAAATGGTCCTTCGTGAAGTACTCAGTTACCTTGAATCAGAAGAAAAGGTCTGTCACTAATTACTTAAAATTCTAAAACATGGAATATTGGCTTTTTAAATGGAAAACTATTATTGATAATCAATTTCAATTTGTGATATATGTGCATATTACCTCTTACATGAAAATCACTTTGGTATGCAAACACATTGTATGTGCAATCGCACATGTGTTTGGGAAAATAAATCATATAAAAATTGAACTGATTAGCTTCCCCTCAGTTTCAGAATTCTAAAAGCTTCAATCAATGCTAATGACAACTGTGCATTGTTCATAGATTGCAAGATTATAATTCTAAAGTCTGTTAACAGAGCTGAAAGGTCCCCCACAACAAGGTTTAAGTTGGCAAAAGTTTTCATCCATAGAAGAATATTTTAAGTTAATTTTGCTGGTTTTTATGTCTCCTTCTGAGTCTTGGATAATTGAACTGACACTAATCACAGCAGGAGACAACAGATGAGCAGAGATAAATAATTGTTTCAGTGTTTTTTTTAGGATACCCTAATACATTTTCATCAAATAATTCTACAGGGAACAGCAGGCATAATAATGAGGTATGAAGCAAACAGATCAAAAGCTTTCGTTAGGGATAACCTCCAGCACTCACCTACAGTTTTGCTACTGGAAACTGAGTTACTTGAATACCAGACTGATAACATTTTTATGCTGTAACATTTCATCCCTTAAACGAGGTGGACATCCTTTAAATAAATTCTGTCCCATAAAATTTGTGGGTACATAAATTTATATAGAGAATAATTCACTTAAAAATAATGAGCTAGTCATCTAGGGAAAAAGCTTTTGGCTCTGTAAGTCAAACCTATGGTTTTAGCATAACAGTAACTTATTTGGTTAGTTACAAACTATGTAAGTGTTTCTTTTAACCTCAGAAATCACCAGATTCTTCTGCTCCCAGATATTTTTCGCTTCAGCCTTCTCTTTCTTGCTCAGAAGCTCAGGATTGGGCACAGTTCCTGAAGTTCTTGCTTCAATAAGTTTGGTTACAAGTGCCCAGAGGCGCACCTGCCATCTCTGAACGCCTGGCATAGCATCAGCTGAGATTAATGAAAGATTTCAGAAACAAATTTCAGTTACAGAACCCAAAACTTTGAAGAAAAGCATAAAAGACACAGAACACTAAACATTTTTAAAAAAACCCGTATTTTAAATGAAGGATGTCAATGCAATTAAAAATGCTGTTACAAGTAATTTTGGGTTGCTTTAATGAAAAAAAATCAGTAAGATAAAACAAAAGTATTTTTCTGCAAGACTTTAAAATATATATATAGCAGTAACATAGCATTTATAGCAAAATTATTCACTAAAATCTGTAAAATAACCCAATGTTATGCCAGTGTTAGAATGCTCATCTCGTGTTTTAACGACTCAACAAACGAGTTGTACATGGTCTCATTTTTTGAACTTATGGAAGAATACAAATATATGTATATACACACATGTATGCGCACACATACTTTTCAAATGGAGAAATTTCTCTTAAAATTTGATTTCAGAAATCACATATACTTCCATGGCTACAGAGATCCTACTCTGCTAATGACTTAAGGCTCTGATCCTTGGTACTGTCTTTGGACACAGGTTAGTCTGGAATGTGAAGATTATAAAGCTGTTCACCATGACCTTGAAGGCGTCAGTCCCACTCCGTGGCTGCTCTAAGAATGTGTTTCTGTGGCCTCGGGATCGCAATACAGAAAGGCCCCAAGCCACTGCTGCACACAGTCATGTCCTCCCCGTGGTGTAGTGCAGAGACACTAGTGAAGGTATGCTTGAGGTGTGGCACTGGTACAGCTTCTGCCCTCTCTTCCAGATGTTCCGTGTTTCTACTGGACTGTGCAGCACTACATCACACTGCATGCACAGTATCAATATATCCTAAGACGTCCCAGCTGGCAAGAGCTTCCAATTCTGCTCTGGCAACTGCACTTGAGAAGTGCCTGGGCTACAACTAAACTGGGAGAAGACATGGAAGTGACTGCAATACATGTGAATTATTTGTCTGATTGCACTAGGTGGAAGACTTCCTGCACTGGGAACAGTAAAGCTGATTGACTATGTCTGCATGATCTTCATGAATTCTCATAGGTGGGACTGGGATAATGATGCTGTCCCCAATCTTCCCATCTCCTACTCATACCAGAAGACTCTAGATCATCTAGATATGATAGGCTTGGAATTATCCAGACTGTAGTAATGGTGTAATAAGCTGCTGGGTAAGTTTGACCACATCCGGACCTGCTAAGTCTGGGAGACTTCTTTGCCCACACCAAGGCAGAGAATGACATGAGACCCCGCCTTGATGTTCACCACTGAAAGTACAAGGAATTCAGTCTGAAGGACAATCATCAAAAGGCTATCAAAATACATCCAGTGAAGAGAGGGATCACAACAACTGAGAACCAATGTTTAATATTCTCTTAATTAGACAATTTTCTGTATTGGGATTGCATGGTGAGGTTTTGGTAGTGAGGAGCTAACAGGAGTGGCTTCTCTGATAAGCTACTAGAAGCTTCCCCCATGTCCCACAGAGCAAATGAAGCTGAGCCCAGGAAGAAGGGAAGGGTAGGGGGAAGGTGTTGTAAATTTGTGTTTATTTCTTATTACTCTAATTTTAATTTGTAAGAAATTAAACTAATTTCTCAGTCAAATCTTTCTTCCCATGATGGCAACTGCTGAGTGATCTCCTTGTCCTTATCTCAACCCATGAGCGTTTTTTTTTACTTTTCTCCCTCCCCCTGTCCAACTGAACAGTGCAGAGTGATAGAGCAGCTTGATGGGCACCTAACAACCAGCCCAAGGTAAAACCCAACACAACTTGCTTGGTTTCTTCAATTTAAACATTCACAATTTTGTTACCATTAAGAAATTCAGACCAAAGCTTAAACATTTAAGACATGATTTTCATCTACTTTTTATTTTCTTCTCCCATGGAAATATCTTGATGCTGCTAAAATCTCCTTTTGCTCACATTTTCCAATACTTGCAACATGACATGAGTCCACAATCTTTCTTTGTATTTCTCAAGTGGTAAACAGGTTGGTTTGATTGACTAAAGGCATTTTTGGTAGTATTATACCTGCGTGTGCTTAGCTTTCTTAAAAAATGGATAACCATCAACCTCTAGTACGCTTTGCAACTAGGATTTTCTATACACTCTTCTCTCAATAACATAATTACTGCATTTTCAAGATCAAAAAATTCAGCAAAAAGATTGTGCACCATTGAATTAGCTGCTTCAGCTGCGTACTGTCAGGGATGCAGCTGTCAAAGCTTGATTCCAAGTGGTTCATTCTTTTTAAGAGACCTTTTCATATGCCTAGCTCTCTACTGTTGCGATTAGATAGTGACAGAAAGCCAACTGAGAAGTCAAAACACACTCCTCCAGTACATACAATAGTGCAATAATATATAAATGAACACACATGAATGCAAAGGGTGACAGACACCAACTGAAATAATGCTTAATGCAGGCTGAACTAAGTAGCAAGAAGTTGACTCATGAAAGAATGAAGAACTACACCTTTTTAAACCAGATGTTAAACCAGGAGCGTTTCATTAAAGCCTTATGCAATAAGAAAGCTAGATTTAAATGAATGTATAAGACTACATTAAAATGCATGAACCACAGTAGATAAAAGAAATTAAGACCTGTCAGTATGATGAATTGCATGATAGCAGCAAACAAGTGCACAGGAGGGCAATTCTTAACTTACTCAAGAAATAATCCCATAAAAATGCCATATCTACAAATATTAGTGTCTAGGAACTCTGATAATGTTCTAATGAGATTCTTCTGAAAACTATTTCATAGTCCATCTTGCAAAAGTCATTGCATGTGTGTAAATAAACAGAGATAACAAAATATTGTAAAGTTTTATCTGTAATCTGATAGGATTGGAAAAAGCTTTTCAATTGATCAATCACTGCTAATTCAAAAAAAAAAGAGAATGAGGTCCAAGATTGCAGAAGAAAATACCACTTAAATACTTTTCATATAATGCCTTTAGCTTATAAGAGGCAAGCTGCTTGCAATGATCTTGCAAGCCTGCCTCTCTCAGTGACAGCTTTGTGACCCCCTCTCTTTTAAAAGAAACAAGCAATAAAACCTGTTTATTATACTTTTTTGATTAATTTGTTCCAAAACTTGGGCATCAAGAAGCGCATTGATTTTGTGTTTAAAATATAACATGCTAGGGAAAAAAACCACAACACAACAAAACAAACAACAGAAACAATTTGACTTACTTTTAGCATCCCACAAAATATCTTGTTCTGGAGGAGCAGCAAACAGAATGTAAAGACGTAGGGTGTCAATGCCATAGTCTTTCACTAATTCTTCAGGGTCTATTCCATTGTACTTAGATTTACTCATTTTTTCCCAAGTAACTTGGAGCTTCTCACCAGTTTTTAGGTGAACTGGTTCAGTTCCTAAATATTAAGATATAAAAAAAATATTAAACCAAATTTTTCTTACTTGTAACAGCAATTCATTTTGTTCCCTAAGCATAAGAAGAGACAACTATTTCTCATGGTTTTTTTTCCACCAAAAACAGCTTAAAGAGTATAAACACCCATTCTAAACACTCTCTTCCCTCCCAAGTTTTTCCTACAGTTATGTTTTAACAAGGGTAATATCCCAATGCTTCCATCACGTTATGACAAAAAGTCTTGTAGCATTTGGAAGCTGTATTTGGCACTCATCCTATGTGCTACCTTGAGAGCCCCCGAGATCTAAGCATTGTTACAGTCCTGACATTTAAAACCTCCTAGATCAGTGTACTGATTCGGTACAATTCTGACTTGCACGTAGCTTTTACAAATATCAGATTTACAGGTTTCAATTGCAGTAAGTTATCCTGAAAAGAATGTGCCTTCTGTTGCATGAACTGAGAGACAGAATGGGGCATTTACACTGAAAAAGTTGCAACTGAGCAAAACCATCTACTACAGAAAAGCGTTATCTTTTCTGGAAGAAAATAGGATAGCAGGCAGTAGAAAAAATTGGGAGGGTTGTTTGGTTATTTGTTTTTTAACAGACTTACAGGGTTTGTATGCAGGAGAAGAACAATGAAAACAAGGTTGCAGAAGAGGAGTGCTTAAGGAAGGCATATATGACCAAACCACCTTTGTTGCTCCGGGTCCCATAGCCAGGACTTGCCGGTCCAGCTTATGCAGTGAAGGCTCTAGAAAGCACTTGAGAAACAGCATTGTTTCCTACATCCTTTACATGCCTAATATCTACTGCACCTGGGTTAGCTTTGCCATGATGTTTTTGTAGGCTGTTTACTGGGACTACTGGCTCCATTCAGCAAGCTGCTGACCATTGTCTTAACAAAACTGACTTTTGATCTTTTGGACTACACTGGAGCTAAAATAATAACATAGCACTGTTTCTGTGTTTGGAAGCAATTAAAAGCTGCTGGATTAGTAGGATCTCTGTGCACTCAGCAGTGCATATGAATCCAAAACTCACAGAAGTTGCTCACCAATTTAAATATTATGAGAATTCATTTTCTCTTTCAAATTTTCCCAGCACTAAGACCTGTACACTGAAGAAGTCCCTGGATGCACCTGTGGCGATTTTCCCATGCAGTTTCTCTTACCAGTGAGATCAACCTCCTCTCTCTTCAAACACTGGCCTGTTGTTGTTAGTCTGAATGTCTGATTCTTGATAAGACCTTGAACCAAGAGCTTATGGAAAGGCTCCCTAAGGACAGAATGAAAACGAAACTGTTAAAAAGAGCTATCAAGAGCATACTTTCTGATAAGCCTCAGGTGTCAAGCCAATCAGGCACAAGCATTTAATGAAACAAGAATTTCAAGCTGACTATCATAAACAATTGTCATCTTAGAAAGAGTACTTTGTGCATTTATTCATGGTGGCTGACTGGCAAGTATAAGTGTTTATTTGCATTCCACACATATCCTTGCACCCTGATTTAGCACTAAGTTATTCTAACGTCACTTTTCAAATTAGCATATGGATAATACACCTAAGTTTCTTGGCCAACCGTGCAATTTCCCTAACTTCAAGCTAAATCTCTTGCGTAAAAGCATTCAAGTACCTGGCCTCACTGTCTTACAAATATTTAGTTCTAACTTCTCTCTGAGGAGCACAGTATTTTGAACAAATCAAAATGTTGCTGCACATTTCTTTCTATAGAGATAAGATCGTTTCTCTAACATAAGCACTTGCATGCCTTGTCCCATTGCAGAACTAGCCTTGAAGGCCTAGCTGTACGAAAAAAATACACCAGAAAAAAGTGTATGCAACGCTGGAAAGTTTGTATGTCAGTGCATCAATTTTTTAGCATCTTGAATGTTGAAACTTTTCTAGCAAAATTTACATCAGGGGGAGTAAACTGTCATCAAATGCATGTATGACAGGGCTAAAAAGAGCCTTGAAGGGCAGTATTGCACTCAGCAAGAAATAAACTCAAAGTAAACACTGCTCTGTTTGACAGATATGTTATAGCAGCCACCTCCTTTAATGACCTTGCATTTCTAATGCATTGAGTCAGATGTCTGTCCTTGTTTTCACAGAAAAAAATGCAACAAAATTAATCTCTAGAGCTTTTGGTCCCCACTCAATAGGCCAGGAAAGTAAGGCAGTTCTAACAGCAGCCTCAAGAACAGCAGGGGTCAGGGAGGAGGTATGGAGCCAGTCCCAGAAGGCACACACAGTCCAGGAGCCTTCTCATTTTATCCTCCAGCACAGAGACATCAGTGACCATCACTCTGGAGGACACGTTAATCAGCACTGGGTACTCCTGACTTGCACCTCCTAATGCCCACGTGTGCTCTGCTTTAAGCAATCTGAATTCTCCACACTTGCGCCTAAGAAAGCCTCAAATACGTACAAAACAACTTATGTAAAAAGGATGTATCACTCCTATTTCCTAGTTTTTAAAAAGTTAGACTAAATCCTTCTAAAGAAGAAATAGTAAAAGCAAACTTCCACATTTTACTTCACATGTACAAAAAAGTCATAATCCAAAACACTACTCACTTTTAAGGAGTTATTTTAGTATTTTACATTATTAGGAAATACAAATGATATGACAATTTATCTCATGATTTAAAACACAGTAATTTATTTAATAATACGGTTAAAGTATTATTAAATTATATAACTATCATGAATGTTTTCACCATATTAAAGCAGATATCTTCTAAGTACTAGTTATTAAACTAGATGACTGATGTAAGCATATATCTGAAAACAAACCCTTAAACTGAGGGAAGGTGACTGGCTTCATATTTTATCTTCAAAATATACACGTTTGAACATGAGTTTCCTTCCTTGCATATTTCATATACTTCTAAATATTGTGCAAGCACTGGTACATATTGATGTCAATTTGTCACAAAGAAGTATGAGTCTCTGCCATGCCACTTGGTTTTATCAACAATGTTAGGTAAGAGCAGCAATTCAAACATCTCTTACAAATATTTTCTAGAGCAGCAATTCAAACGTCTTACAACTATTTTCTAGACAGCATTTCACATTTTGCCTGAAAAATCTGGTTTAGAAATGAAGTAAAGGAACTTTAGGAAGTCAATTAATTGAATTCAAATTAATTCAATTAATTGAAGTCAAATTTAGACAGTACAAACAAAAAAAGAAGTATTTTAAAAATAGGATGCAAAAATCATCTAAAATTTCAAAAAGTTATCACAAGTTATACAAGTGAATTAGAATGTGAAAATCTGGAGCAAAATCTTTGTAATCCTATGAACAACAAGGGTGGGAAATTGCTCCAGGATATAACAGTTCAGGATAAGTTTTTTCTACAAACTAAACACATTACACCAAGGAAAAATAAAAATAATTTCCCTCTCTATCATTCAGTACTTCAATCTGTTTAAGATCTCAAACAGTTATTAAAATAGCTACACTTCCTGCTATCTAAAATAAAGCTAATGAGGTAGCCAGACCATCCAAATCAGATAGGGCTTTCCACTGGAAGTGATTTTTCAAGGAACACTTATTTTTAATGACAAAGAGTTAGTTCAGATCATACGCCAAGTTATTAAAAGCTGAATGCGGGAATGAGCGTTTCTTATTTTTGTTTATGCTGCCAGAGAGTACAAAAATGCAATACAGAATACATTACCAAGTATGGGGAACTCCCCCCCCGTGTTCCTAGTGGGAGACCACAGGAGAACGGAGACATGCCCAAAATGAGAAAGCCAGAGCCCATCTAATAAACACAGGGCTCAAAAACAAATTAAGCCCTTCACTGAATGTCTCCTGAAAGGCACAGTGATTTTGCCAGTGTTGTGGTGGCTCCATCTCATGTTCACATGCAGAGTTACACTTGGATTTACATGAATAAAACCTCACACCTCAAACCTTCCCCTCTGAAGACAGCAATGAGCTGCCTGGTTACGGAAGGGACCTGCCAAGGGGCCACAGCACAGCAGGTGTGATGAAATTCTGATCTAAATACTGCATGGCATCATAAATACCTCCTGATCCAAACCACTGTGAACAATGAAAATTAAGCCCTCTTCAGGCACACTGACATCACTGACACAGTAAACGAAGAGGTGTCTGGAGTTTCTCTGAATGTTTAATCACATTTCAGATTGTAAGTATGATGGAATGGCATAAGCCTTCACCAGTCTGTGAAGTTGGTTTGTGCTCATGCTGAAGTATGAGCACTGAGATCATGGTCAAGTGCAGCTTTTGATCCTTTTGTACGTCCCACCTGTGAACTCTGTCTGACACCTCTGAGAAGGATCAGCTGTGCTTGCCATGATGTGTGTAATCCATCTTTTCCCTTTCTGTAATGTTCATGTACAGGTTCATTTCTGTGATAGACCCATCTCTACACAGAGGACCCTGCAATGGATAGTAGGGCAAGTATGACTGACAGATCAGGAATTCCTGCTCAGTGCCATGTCCTCATGCTCTTTGCTTTGCTCTGTGCAAGGCGAGCAGAACTTTCAGTCCAACTACAAATGAGCCGGCTGGAAGGACTCTGTGGAGCCTGCCACAGTTATAAATAGTGGATTCAGAAGAAAGGATAGCCCTAGCAAGGGCTCACTGCACGTTATTTGCACCGTGCACCTTTAGAAAGGCTGAGAGAGCCTAATGCTGTGCCCTGGAGTAAAGACCTTGGGCAGTCACTATCAGCTGAGTTCACAGGGTTGTGAAACCTGCTGTTACATCTAGCTGTAACAACCCAGCAACCTTGTGGAAGTGATTGGAGAATGTGGAAGCTGATCGTTTTAGGCAGAAAAAAGATGATACAATATTGAACATTCAAGATTCTACACAGTCAACAGCTGAGTGCTTTTACTTAAAATCAGCACTAGTGATAAAAGTCCCAAATGAATGCAGAGTAGCTCTAACATCATTCCTTCAAAGAATAAGCTATTTCTGTCACACACATATTTTCTTTTATTCCATAATGCATTATATGAAAAAAGTGCCTTCTTAACTCAGCAGATTTGCTCTCTATCACAGCCAAATCTGCTGACTTAACAGCAACAATAAACTTTTTATTGCTTTAGAATCCTTTAGGGAGAATGTGCAAGATTCCATTTCCAAATTATGCATCAGACAGAACTGATTACTGAAGTCTAGGGAAGGACCAGATTCTGTGTAACTCGTACTTGCAGTAATACAGTTGAGCAGGTGTAACCAAGTGTGTCAGCACACACTCACCATGGTGGATTAAGATAGCACACATGAGGAGTTTGCTGGCCCCAGCTGCTTACCTGGCCCCTCTCCCAGTGGTGGTCACAGCTGGGAGGGCTCACTGGCTTGTGAATTAATTATAGAACCAATGCATTTTACAGACCACATTGCTAAAACAAATTGACATCAATTTGGCCTTAATCTGAGATCACATGTACGAATACCCAGAGGGTGCCATTTATTCTGCCTTGTCATTACTGAGGAAATGAGCAACAGTTTCCACCATCTTCAGCCCAATGCATTAAAAAATGAAATAAAAGATTGTGCCTCATGTTCAGAGGGTATTTAAGCTACATTGACACCTTTACAATTTTAAATGCCTACAAACACTTAAATTTCTTATGAAAGCATGTGTGATTTCTGTAAATGCCTACGTTATTATACATGCTGCCTGTAATATTTCTACAGTAATAATCATTACACCATATTAGAAGAGATTCCTTTGAAAATCTACACTATGGATTTTTATTATCTGTTTGCAACCACATTATTATATTAATAGCCATTAGCATAGAATTAAAGACTAGCAGGAAATATTTCAATGGATTTGAAAGTCAGAGGATAGGAGCCTAACAATGAAAATTTCCATGAAGAAAACCTATCAAAATGAAAAATTACTATAGAGAAATAGGGGAATCATAAAAATTTGTAAGGATGCTAGATAACACTTTAAACAGTGGCAGCTCTCATTAACCAAGACATAGCAGAATTTTCTTAATTTAATCAGGGATAATCTAAGCTACTAGATAAAGACTGAAAATGCACTAGGGGGCAGTGTTTTTTAACATTTTAGTGTTTTCCCCCAGAGCTGTGGGTTTCGAAACCAAGACTTTTGAGCTTCTTAACGATAAGCCTGTTGTTTCTAATCACATTTTTCCAATCTCTGAGACTAGCCCTTGAGCAGTTCAAACAGATGACTGAGCAAAAGTGGCTTCTGACCAATGCTAAAACATTTAAAACACATGGAAATATTTTTAAAGCAGTTATCACTTCCATATCAAAACAAAATCCTAATTTGACTTCATGGCTTCAAAGCACCTAATGCAGTAACTTGCACAGAGCTAAAGCAAGCAAACACTTTTGTGCATGAGGATGAATTTGTTACGATCATCCTGGTCGAAGCAGTTCATACAACCAACCTGCAGGGCAGTGCTGTAACATACGTATCTTCACATGTGCAACAGTTCTTGAGATTGTACATGGCGTTAAAGTAATTCTTCATAGTCTTGCAAACTGCTTCTGCAGAAAGCAATTTTGATTTTTTTCTGCTATTGTCACTAGATTTTTTTAAATTGAAGTTAAGAGTTTTCTTCTGCAATCTACCATATTTAGACCAGTACACACACAGCTTTTGTGCTACTGCTCTGTCACAGCTGAGGGTGAACAAAACACATTCCAAATTAATACAACTGCAGAATCACAGAGTCCTTAAATTGGAAGTCATTTGATGCAACTCTTTTCTGACATCTAACACCTCTTTTCTGACACCTAACTTTGGGTTGTTCAGGGTCCCATCTGGCTGAGTTTTAAAAATATCTGATGATGGAAATGCCACAATGTGGTCAAGTCATTCCAGTCTCATCACCTTCATAGTCAAAACTATTTTCCTTCTGTCCAGCTGAACCTTGCTGCAGTCTGTGACTGTTACTCCTGTCCTTTCTCTGTATATCTCTGAGTCTGGCTCTATCTTACCTATAAAGTTCCTTTAGGTAGCAGTAGACTGAATTACATTCCCTCCTTAGCCTTCTCTTCTCCATGGGGAACACACTCAGCTCCCTTAGACTCTCTTTCTCTGCCATATGCTGCACTCCCTGAATATCTCAGTGCTCATCTCCTAGATCCAGTTTGACAATGTGTCTCACACTGGGAAGGGGGAGAGGGGGGCAGGTCAAAACTAGACACAGTATTCCAGATGTGCCTCCCTGAACAATGAGCAGAGATAACCAAAGCTGGACATGGTTTTGCTAATGCAGTGGAACAGACTGTCACGCTGACTCCCATGTAACTTGCTGTTCATCAGGACCCCTAAAACCTTCCTCTGTTGCAATCCCTCCCCAAACAGATGGCATAGCCCCAGTTCTGTGGGTAATCTGCTCCATGTCCAATCCAGAACCTTGCCTTCAGATTTCAGACCTGCTTTTCCCCTCATCAAAGTCCTCTGCACAGCATGGCTTTTCTCAGTGTGCAGTGATAATGAACCTGTTGAGAGTGAGCACTTCATTGCATTGCCAAGGTTATTGCTGAAGATGGAAAATACAATTGGTCTCAGAGGTGCCTCCTGAAGAATACCACTTGCAAACAGCTAACTTTGAACACTGGCCCTTTGAATCTGATGGTCCAAACAGCTTTTTCTATCCATACTGCAGTCCACCCACTCAGCCTGTACGTCCCCAGTCAGACTACAAGGATGCCAAGGGAGAATTTGTTAAAAGCCTTGTTAAAGTCATAAAAGATATGCACAGCTCTCTCCTCATCCTCAGATGGAATCATCTCACCATAGAAGGAAAGCAGATTAAGTTGGGCATAATTTTCTCTTGGTAAATCCATGGTGGCTGCTCCCAGTCACCTTGTCATCCACGTGCCTGGAACTTGTATGTGCCTGGTTTACTTAAGTGATCCCTAACTTGATCCTTCTTTACAGTGGGTAGTATCTCTCTCCTTCAAACTCTCCTGATAAGCACACACCTTGACAGGAAATGTCAAGGCAAAGGCTGTTCTTTGCTACTTAGGCTCTTTGTCTGATTTTGCGTCAGGCCAACATTTTCTTTGATGTATCTGCAGAAGTCTTTCTTACTGCCTTCACGTTCTTCATCAGTTTCAATTCTAGATGATCTATGGCCTTCCCTAATTCAACTTTGCCTGCCCAGTCAATGCTTCCACAGTTCTCCAGTTGTAGCCCATCCTCAATTCCACTTTCCTTGCACTGCTTTTGGTGCTTAAGGCTGAAAGCCTCCCTACTTTGTTGCACACCAAAGTGGACCATTTACTTTGCAACAACATCTCCCCTGCTCTGTGATCTCACTTTATATTGACAATATTTCAGCCACAGCTAATGTCATTTGGAGAGTCAGAAGAATTCAACTAGCAGGAGAACATTTTGCTGCTGTGTGTTACAGCTCCACTAGATGGCTGATGGATTAGGATTGTAAAGTCTTTTGTAGAATTAATAAGCCTAAATTTTCTTGCAAGGGAAAGCTCTGAAATCCTCTGCTTAAAGGAATGGTGCTTCTGAGAGAAAGGGTCCACTCCACAAGAGAAGAACTAGACCTCCCGCTGCAGCTGCGCAAGCTGGAGGCAACAGAGGGAACACAAATAGTCTACATCCAAAATTTCAAATACACTATTCACTGCAAACTGCTTGCAGGCAAGAATGAGTTATGAAAACACCTTGTCTATTTTCATCAAATTATTATGAAATAACTTGGGGAAATATTCTGCTTGGCTCCACTAACTAGTCCATCTTTTTCTGGCTCAAAGGTGCTTAAATTCTAGTTGTGGAGCAAAACTACTGCATTTGAGCAAGTTCAGTGCCATATATATGTAGGCTCCTCTTCTACTTCAGGGTTTTAGAGGGGATACTAGTACAGAGTGAACTTATATGAGTTGCCAGCTGAGAAATTACTGAGCAGTTCTTCTCATGAGGTCACTCATATTGATTCAATTTATTCAATCCTCTCTGCATTTGGGAGAACAGGAGAGAGCATGGGGCAGCATTTCATTGTTCTGACACTAGTATCCTCCAACCTGAGGCATTCCTGGCATGACATTTTGTGGTACAAAAGGGCAGAATTTCAGTGGCAATGGGGACGTTAAGCTAAGAACCTATCTGAGAGGCCAAAGAACAGAACAAACAGATGACTCACCGTCCTGCATCAAACTTTACCTCTAAAACAAATTGACAGCAGATAAACATACCGCTTTTGCTTATAAAAACGTGTTTCGCATTACTAAGCTCCAATGCTACAGTGAATTATAGAAGTGCTTAGTTTCCTACATATGCATGGTTCCACTGAAATGAATGGTATTACTGGCAGGAAGTTACCTAATTTGAAATAATAGCACTAGTCAGAATCCCTAAAGTTACTAGTTTATGCATGCTTTTGCAGGCTGAACATCTACAGCAGCATTTTATCACTTGCTCTGAGCAGTTAATACTCTTGCAATGAAAATGTTATGTATGTACACATACAAAAAGTACAACTGACTATGAGAAACCAAGTACTGACAAAGTAGGAAAATTCAGGCTTATTCAATGTAGTGTCCTACCATTGCAACAATGTTCACTAATATTCTCACTAGTCAAATGAAATATGGAAGACTTTTACAGAAATATATAAGGCTTACTTGTGTTTTGTCATCTTTAGGTCATGGCAAAAATGGCTGAAAAACCTTGCATAGAATAAGTGCATAACTGCATGCTCCTTTCCCCCGATGTACAAATCCACAGGCATCCAGTAGTCTGCTAAGTCACTATTAAAGGGCCTGAAAAAACAAAATTACAGAAAAAATACAGTGTGGAAAGGAAAGACCAGTGCTACTAAAGTAGCTCATCATACTTGACTAGACAACTCTGTTTGCCAAGAGCAATACATATGAGACAAAACTTTCATTCTGCTATAATGTTTTACAAAGTGAAATGCTTATTCTAGACAAAAATTTAATTTCCACTGAGATGCAGATCCACAAAGAGACTATTTTCCTATATTTCAGGTGAGCAACTAAGACTTCACATATATTACCTGAGAAAGTGATAAAAAGATTTGCCTGCTCATTAAACGACTTTTTTTATAAATACCCTGTGGCTAGCCTTAAATTTTTTAGCATTTATCAGGTTTTATATACAAATATATTAGAGTGAAAGACCAAAGGCATGTCCACTCAAAAAATGTTGATTTTTTTAATCAGAGGTTTGCATTGTTGCCATTAGGGGGCAATGACACAGTTTAAGGCTGCAGAACCTTCCATTAGAGTCAGTTGGGTCACCGCACTCCAACTGAAGGAAGCTCGATGAAAAATGACAGTAAATTTGTCATTTACAGCATATTTATTATGTCGTTGGAGAGCACCTGCATGGTTTCCTAGCATTGCTTACTGCTTCATTACATATTGCCACGTCTCTTGTAATGGGCTCTCGCCTCAACAATACCATTTGTATAGAAGTTCTTCTCTATGACCCTGTTCTAACAACAAATCTACTTGTTTTGTCAGTCTGTCTAATTATTCCATCTGTCATTTTTGTAATAGCAACACGTTTTTCCTCACAGATCAGCCCAGAAGCAAATAATGGATCTGGGATTCATGTCTTTAGTGGAACAAATCAAAACTAACTTGTTCATAGCGTTCCAAAATCAGTAGAGTAATTCTTGCGAACTGCAGACCAGTGAAATATGGCTCATGGAAATGAAGGGTTTACATGTGCCTAGCTTAGCTAAAAAACCTAACTAAATAAATCAAATGCAGGTAGCAATTTATTGGAGCAGACCATATAAACATTCTCATTTCAATACAAACCAGATTTAGCTACACTAAGCTGTTACTTTGACAGCTGAATGTTACATCTGACTATTTCTTCTTCAACTTCTGGAAAAGTCCCTCTTGTCCACACACAAAAAAATATTTCAAACTGTCACTGGAGAGAAAGCAGTCTGCCTAACTCAGTAATAATAATATATTCATGCTATCTAGAGAATAATTAAGATTAGCATGAAATAATAGTGTTTGCAAAAGATTTGTCTTTAGTTTAACTAAACTAGTGCTGCCAATATAAAAAAAAAATTGGCCCAGCTATACTAAGTCACTGGCTCTGTTCTCAGACACTGCTCTGCACAATAAATAAAGAAATACTCGCCCAAACAGTCCTACATGTGGTATCAGTATTTTAAAATGCAACTCTTTTTTGTCTTCCACAGACTACTTAGTAGGGATGTTGCACTAATTCCTCTTTGGCAAAAACAGAGCTATCAAGCAGTGCTACTAAAGGCAGATTACAAAGCGGAAAAACAGATAAATAACTACATCTGCCTTCCCACACTCTCCAGCCACTAGTGAATAGCACATGAAAAATCTCCTTTCATTAATTTTGCAGGTAGTAGAAGTGCTGACACAGCAGGAGCTTGCTGTGATGCCACTTCACTTGAGGTCTGCTCCCAAGGAAGTAGGAAGAGTCACTGGAATTTGAAAGGAGAAAAATGAAGGTGCTGTTCTTGGCAGCTGGATGTTACACTGGACTATTCCTCTTCTCACCAGTGGAACAGCACTGGCTGTCCACACATGCTGAACTGCTCAGTGCATTGCCAGGGAGGATACACTCCATGTAACTTACCACAGTCTCAGATAGTCATGGCAGGTCGCCTGTTATTCCTGACGGAACCCTCCACTAAGGACTGTTTTCAGCTCCTCATCTGAATATTTCCTCTGTGCCCTGCCCCATATAATGTGCTTTTGTGCAAACTTCTGCCTCTTGCCCTGTAGTTCCTGTGCTTACACAGTACTGTCTACACATCCTGCCCTTGTACATCTCCTGGCATGGGAGCAACCAAATGTCACATTTTTAGACCAGCTCCTAGTCTATTGCCCTGGTTTTGGCTGTGATAGAGTTTATTTTCTTCCTACTAACTGGTACAGAGCTGTGCTTTGAATTCAGTATGAGAATAATGTTGATAACATACTGATGCATTGGTTGTTGCTCAGCAGTGCTTCCTCTAAGCCAAGGACTTCTCAGCATCCCATGCTCTATCAGTGAGCAGGTGGCAAAAGAAGCTGGGAGGAACCATGGCTAGGACAGCTAACCTGAACTGGCCAAAGGGATATTCCATACCATAGGCTGTCATGCCCAGTATATGAACTGGGGGAGTAGGCTGGGAGGCACTCATGGAAGGGCTAGGCATCAGTCAGCAGGTGGTGAGCAGTTGTATTGTGCATCACTTGTTTTTCTTGAGTTTTCTCTCTCTCTCCCTATGCTTTTTATTACAATATTTTACTTTGTTTCAATTACTAAACTGTTCTTATCCCAGCCCATGAGTTTTACTTTTTTTCTCCTCCTGATTCCTCCCCAGCCCACAGAGAGAGGGGGTGAGTGCGTCAGCAGCAGTGTAGTACTTAGATGCCAGCTGGGGCTAAGCCACAACATCTCCCCTGTGCTGTGCTCAAGCCAGGGGGCAGGCACATAATGAGGGCGGTGTGGGAGTTTACACCCTCATCCGTAAAGGCATTTAGAAACCCAAAGCACCGGAATATGTGGTCTCTTCCTTCCCTTCTTTTCTGTGCAGCAGGCTTGCCCCTGATGGCCCTGTTCCTGCAGCCCTCACCTGTCCGTGTTGTGAGGGTCAGTGTACCTCAGGTAGTACCAAGCAGAGTCAACAAATGTATCCATGGTATCGACTTCTCGCCGTGCTGCTGCCTTACACCTGAGCAAGAGAGAAGGAGAAAAGCTATTTTTAGGTAAGTGACAAGCTTGGAAAAAACCCGCCATATACAGTGGCCATAAAGACGTTTAGACTGAAAACTGAAGGGGTCTGAAACCGTCTGAAAAGTGACATGTTCAGAAAAATTCAACATCAACAACAGGGCGCACTCCTTCCCTCTCCCTCCCAAAACATACAAAATGCAAACCAAAAAGAAGCCTGAACACCCATCATATGCTGGCACTGCACTGGACAGCCCTCTTGATCATATGTTCCTGGAATTTTTTAGAATTGCCATTTTAAAGGAAACCAAGCACGGACAAGTGTACTCTGTCATAAAGTTAATGGGTACTGAATATATATCACACTAGTTAGGTGTCAGCAGACAAATAACTTTATAAACATTTAGCAGAAGGAGCAGGTGGTTGCCTCTCACTGCTTGTCTGTACAAAAAGGTCTTTGCAGATTCCATTTATTATCTCTAGAAAAGATTAACTTAGTTTAATTTTAGCTTTCACTGACATGTAGCAAACCTCTCCTAGACCTTGTAGCACAATTTTAATTTGTGATTATACAAATTGATTTTTGATTATAATTATATTGGCAGCTCTGAGAAAAAGTTTTAAAATGGATTTTAGATGCTCAAGTTACTTTCTGGTAATTTCTCCTTGAATATTAATTGTTTGCAGAAGCCAATAATCACATTTAATAAGCTTCCATTTGTTGTAAAGCAACCCTTCTAAAACTCTGACTGTTAAAACAATGGGATTATTCTAATGTCAATGAAACTTTGTAACCTGTGACACTCATATATAAATGCCATTTGGCTATATGTAAGAAATATAACCAGTTTATAATTGTATGTATGTGTGTAATAAGTATACATAATAAATGGGGACTGGCTATTTAATATTTTTCAATTGCATATTTAGTCTCCAATCAGGCCTGATAACTCAGCTGCAACATGTATCTGCCTGTCTGTCTGATACTTCAGCTTGGCTTGCCAAGGCAAGTTTAGAGAGAGCATCACCACTTAACATTTTTGTTCACTTTGTCTCTGCCCCTGGTCCTTCTCTACCAGCAAGTTCTTCTTTCAATGGGAATAGTGCAGTAAAGGAATTTTACTTCTAACTGCTTTTTAATGTAGAATAATAATTCTATTAAATTGTACATATAAGCAAAGACTTGGCCAATGTAAAAGAATACTGTATTGCATTGAAAAAGAATGGCTTTTCAGTCAAAAGCAAGAACACATTAATTGAACCATAATTATATCTGCTTCATGCCTCTGTGCTCTAAATGGACACGGCTCACTAACACAGAGACAGCATGGGCATCTTTCAAAGTTTATACAATTTATATCAATACTGTGATTACAAGCACAATACTGTAATCTCATTAGACAATCTTCAGACAACTAACACAATTACCTGGACTTGTATAACAATGAATAACTTGGGCATCTCTCCCATTTATGATTGCTAACATTATGGTCACTTAAATACTCAGACTGTCGTATCTTTCCATCTGGCTTTCCTTATTAATTCTAGATATTAAATGCAACTAATAAAACTAATAAAAAAGGCAGGGATGATGTAACTTCTCAGAGCAAGGAAAAGCAAGGATGACTATGCACACAAAAGCAATAGCTTAAAGGATTTGAAACTGTAGCAGACGTGGATGAGCAATACTAAAGATAGCTGTCAAATAGGTGAGAATTAAGAAGTCAAATAAAGGTGAGAATTTAAAAAAAAAGTGGATTTCAGCAAACTACCACATTTTAGGCTAAGAAAATAATCCTGTGTGCCTTCATTTCTGACTCAACGAATGCCCTTGACTAACTTCTAAGTAGGGCAGCCACAATAACTATACAGAAACCATAAGGATTTGCTATCTATCAGAAGTATATTACTGACTAGTAAATAACAAAATAATTTTGTAATTAAGGTTGTGGGGGAAGCTAAGAGTGCAGATAGTGACTTTGAGTCACATCAGGAAAATTTTTCCATTAAAATTAGAATTGTAGACCAAGGCATTTCTGGGGGTTTTACTAAACCTGTGTATCTTACTTAGTAAGGCTTCACTGCAAAAGTTGCACTTTAAAATACACTACTATCTGCAATTTCAATAGGCACATCTGAGAAGAAATTTTCTATGTAGAAACATGGGAGTAAAATGTCTGTTTCGCAAAAAATACATCTTATCAACAAAAGCCAAAATACATGTTCCCAGAAAACCATGAAACTGCTGTGCATAAGCTACATAATTAGAAATTAAAACCCTGCTGATATTCTACCTTTTAAATATTAAAATGAAGTTAGATGTTATGAATCTGCTGCATTATGAAGAGAGCCATATTGTCACTTTTATGTCTGATTCCCCTGCCTGGCAGCCTGGTAACATACTTCTCATTTGGTCAGTCTGTTAGCAGCAGCATTGCATTACACTGCTGATGAAAAACGTCTCTGGGACACCTCATGTTCTACCAGTTCCTTCAACAGAGTCTTTATGCAAATTTCAGTGTACAGAGTATCGAAGCAGCTCTCAAGATTACACAACTGATTTTCACAACATATCTTTCACTACTTAATTTAGGTTGTTTTATTTCTTAAAAAGCTGGACTACAAACAATAAGGCTTACAGCACTGACAAGATGCATATACTTACTATCTCCTTCAATCTGAATTACATGCTGTTATCTGTAATGTACAGTGCATGTAATTCTTCATGATCAAGATTTATATAGCCGAGGGAACTCTCTATTGTGGGACTATTGCAAGAAAATGAACACAATGTTCGTTTCCTTAACAAAAGGACATAATTTAATAATCATCATAAGCTTCATATGAACACTGGTGGTAAAAGATAATTAAAATAACTGTAGTAAATGAAGTGAGAAATACTGTTAAGAAATGGGAAGCAGGGAGAAAATCATTCAGTTTTTCCTTTTTCCTTTCCTCCAACTTAAAACCAATGAGTTTTGCTTCAGCTTGTTTATGAAAAAATAGCCGTAGGTGTTTGTGTTGCAAAAAAGGAGTTTTACAGAGTACACAGGAAAAAAATCCCTGTGCTGAGTCAGACTAAACATCATTCTGGAGTAGTAACCTGTCTTAGAGCAGTCAGTCGCCAACATTTAGGGGAACAGCCCAAGAAAGGGTCAGGTGCAAAGCGATCTCTCCCCGACTGCAGCAAATGCAGCACTGGCTTACCTTGGACAGGAACAGTTCACCCAGTCAAGAGCACTTTCTAAAGGAGAAGCTCCCTTTCCTGTGAAGGTGGTTACATTGGGCAACACCACCGGTAAGTCTTCATAAGGTACAGGAACAGTGCCACACGCCTGGCAGTGAATGACTGGAATAGGAGTTCCCCAGTACCTCTGTCGAGATATTAACCAGTCTCTTAATTTGTCACTTGTTAGGTCTCCACCTATTCTTTTATTTTTGGCCTGCTGAGTAATAGCTTTTAAAGCCTCCTGCCGAGTCATGCCAGTGATCTGATTGAGAAAAGGAAAAAAAAAAAAAAGAGAAGCAGAAGAAACAAAAATTTATCCTTGCTGTCAGTGAAAATGCAAGATCAGACAAAAAAAGTCATAAATGCAATTTCTGAGAGTCAAAGTTCATGAGCATTATAATAATTTTCCCCTTCCCACAGCTTAACATCCTCCTGTACAAGAGATTACTCATATACCAGCTACGCATTTGAGCCCTCGTGCTTAAAGGATAATATTCTTGATGGGCTGAATAGAATAAGGCTGAGAAAGCATCTTGTAGATGCCTTCAGCCTTTATTGGCAGATACTTGCATTTACTGCTCATATCTTTATCAGTTGCTGTATACCGAAACTCCCAGAGTTCTATTCCCAACATAAGGTAGAAACTGAGGAAATGCAAATGTTAAAACAGCTTGCTTTCTCCTGTGCTCATTTTAGGTTTTTCTGCTCTTGCTTTCACAAATACCTTAACCACTTAGATCCTACCTGGCATGTAAGAAAATATAAGCTTTGTGTCTGCTATCAAATACATTTTTTCAAGAGCTCTACCTAAAGATAAGATTTCTATGCCACTTGAGGTATATACGTTACCATAAAGGCTGAAACATTTCATTTCAGTGAATATGCGGAAAAAGGACTAATGTATCATTTAACTTGAAAATCTATTGAGAGAAATTTGGTAGTATAAGCTTGGCTTGATTCTAAAAAAAACCCCAAAAAAACCCCTTTAATCATACAAAGTATTTGGCACTCCTGAGAAAACAGATTTAGTTTGTATTGTTAAGTTGGAAAGGACTCCATACTTGTATACCCACCTCTGCAGAATTAATGACCTTCTCCAAACCATTTGGCAATGTCTCAATGACTTCAGTGAAAGAAATGCCCAGATTCTTAGCTACTGCAGCATCTTCTGCACTAGTACTAGGAATTCCTAGGAGGGATGAAAAAATAAATCAGTTCAGGAATTGACTAACATGGATATCAATCATCAGTTTCAGGAAAAAACATTTCATTTCTATGACACTCTCTTTATAATGACTTACGCTTGCCTGTAGGAGTTAAAGAAAAATATCTAAGAATAAAAATGTTTTCATATTCTTTGAGCAGTAAAATTCAAACAGCAATAATTACAAATGCATTTCTCAGTTCCTCTGTAATTCAAATGTTCATCAATGTACTACTGCTGAAAAGCCTGAAAATTTGATGGTTCTGAAAAAACTAAAAATGAAGCTACAAAATTTGGACAGAATCACAGAATTTTCAATACAGCTATGTTATCTAAATATATTTCAAAAATACAAATTTTAATTCTAAAAGCTAATATGACAATCAAAGAGTAAACTAACAGCTGAAATAGCCCTTCTGTTTCAATAGTAAATTCAATCTCTTTCTAATTTCATAGCTTATTAAAATGTACCACAACATAACTGTCTCTAACATTACTATCCCTTTAACTTATTATCAAAGCCATGATTTGTTTATAAACTAAGAAAAACTATTCAAATAACATCAATTTTCTATTCAGAATATAACCATTGAGAACACTTCTTACAGCTATTCAAGTAAATTGCAGAAGTCACAGTATTTAAGGCCCTTGCTGCTATCTTTCCTGCTGCATCTTATTATTTGTGACAGTCATCCATTTTAGTTCTAGTCTGGAGGATCACCTTTCACATTTATTAAACTCACCTTTATTATCACATGTATTCTGAAATAACATTGAGATACTAACAGATTTATTATTTCCACAGAGCTACATCTTCCTACATATTTTTCCCTTTCACTGATAATTTTATTATTCGTTTGAACAATCTTGCACAATTGCTGTCATCCTTAAAAAGCAAAGAACCTTATTCCGACAAGCCAATATCAATACTAAGTTGGTGAAAACTACAGACAAAAACTCTCATAATATTGGCTGAGCACATCAGAATTACTAACATACAAACTGCTTCACTTAAAACCGGTTTAACAATCCTCTTTGTTCAGGGAAAATGAAATGCCTGCTATACATTCACTCTGTCAACACGTGGAAGTTTGGAAGCAGATAACTAAAGAAAATCAAGCAAAACTCCTCTGTAATAAATAACTCCTTAACTAGCAAAATATGGAATCGCTATTTTATCTTTCCAGCAGATGCACACTCCTACCATTTCAAGGCTCTGTTACAAAATAATGTATGTATCTTAATTTGACAATGAGTCCTGTAGCCTGCAACAGGTGGCTTCACAATATGCTCTACAAACAGAAAAAAGCAGGTCCCACTTTTTGCTTTGCCTTCTTTTGAAAAGATGATGCTATTAATGTACATTGGCAAAGCTCAACAGCTGGCATCCAGAGCTTCCCAGGAAGAGCTGGGTTGTCTCCAACAGACATAAGACCAAGGTATGTGCCAGTGAGCAAGCTGGAAGCTTTTAAGGAAAAATAAGATTAGGTATCTCAGTTATTTGGCTTCTATCACATGAGGAAAGATTCTGTTTCTCAAAACCAAATTCATATCTAAAGTGTAAGATGCAGGCATGTTATAAGGAAGGTATGCAAGTAGATAATTTCCATTAGCCCTCTGAAGGTTGTCCAAGACATTTTTGCAGAGTCAGCTGGTTTTATTCAGCCCAGTTGTCCAAGAATAGCCAATTTAGGGAGTGGTGAAAGCAGCAGCACCAGGACAGGAAAGAAGTATCAGCAACAGGAAGGCAACAAAAGGGAGCTGAGGGATAAGGAAGGTACTGGGAAAAGGGATGAAGAGATAACTATTTCTTATTTGGACTGGCAGAGAACATTGGCTCCTCAATGCAGCTGAGATGAGACCATGGCAAGGCACAAGAGTAAACAAAAAGCTCAGTGGGTGTAGATTAAAACAGACACTGGTTTTAAAACTTAGTAATATTTCTAATTTTACTTATAAGGACAATCATTATATAAGCATATGTACTAAGCTGCCCAAGTTGGGGGACTGGGCTCCCTGTGCAGGAAAGGAGCCAGACAGGCAGCTTCACAGGACAATTTTGAGAACAGAAGCCCACTGCAGGCGATTCAGCATCCTTTAGCAATGCCCCTTCCCCGCCATTTCTGGATCCTCAACTCCAAATTAGGTACCTTAAATTATGGGAACACCTCCTTTAGAGATAAAGGATCCAAGATAACTGTCCAAGACTACCTGAAAATAATTATTACCTATCCTGAACTATTTTACTGGCCTCAACACAAATATTATCAGGTAAAAGTCAAACTTGGAAGCTTTGTACATTTACTGTCTGAAACATTTCTCTACAAGAATGCGCATAATTTATGTAAACATAAGACACAAAAAAGTGAGAAGTTAGGGTTGTTTGTCAAAAAATGGTACAGTTCTGTTTTGATTAAGGATGGTGAGAGACAGCCAAACACACAAGCATTGTGGATAATCAATCTTCTTAAGATATGCAGATCCTCAAATTTAGCTCATTAAATGCACTAATTTTATAATATTTCCATTTAAATTTATCATCCTGTAAGTCTCTTCCCCCAGACAGATTCCACACAGCTACTTTCCCCTTCCTTCTTCACTGATGAAGAACAGAATTACAAAGTCCAGGAGAGAGCATCTGTGTTCAAAGATTTATTGCAGCAGTACCTTGTGCCTCAACACGGCAACTGAAAACTATACTATTCCACTTACACATTAAATGTCACATACCTATTTTAGTGTCAAGAAAATTATCAAAATTGGTTTTTGCTGAGATGACTATAGGAATCTCCTGATTGGTAAGCAAATTCACAGCTGTCACTGAAGTGAGTGAGTCTGAAAACAAATGTAATGAAATGGTAAGAAAACTATGACAGAAGATATACTAAGAACATCACTTACCATTAGAATGCAGGTTATCTTAAACATACATGAATTTTAAATTACAATTTTCTTTAAAAAAGAAATCAAATGAAAAACTTAATCATATTTCTAAAAAGCTCAGATATATTAAAATGTGCAGTTAGTCAGATTGACAAATTTTCATGATTAGAAAACATAAAAAGCATCTGAATAAAAACAGAGTAAGATCTGGATTACAATAAAAAAAATTTGGTCTCTGACCAAAATGCAGGCCTTCTGCAAAGTTGTATTAATTGGCTTTAGTAAGCCCTAATTTCTATACTAGCATATAATATTACAAAATTCCACCCAAAAAATCAGATAAAACTGCAGTGGAACATATATCCTTATGATTAATTTCTTACAGAAGGACTACAAAGCATGTGAAATACTGACCACTGTTAAAAAGCCACCTAAGTAATGTATTGATTTGCAAACAGAATATTCATATTATTATTAGAGATGAGGAACCCAATGTCCGCAAGGAAGGGGAGAAAGGAGAGAATCAAGGGTGAGAACTGTAATAAGCTCAAATTGATGTACAATGTACAACTTGGGTGGCTCAGCAAGAAGCAAATAAAATCTAAACACTCTAAGTTTTAAGGATTCAAACCCCAGATCTCACTTTGGACCTATTTCTAACTTTTGTAGTGCCTTTAAGTTGATTTAATAGATTTCACAGAGTATTCTGAGTTGGAAGGCACCCACAAGGATCATCAAGTCCAACTCTTTAGTGAATTGCCCATATGGGGATTGAACACATGGACCTTGGTGTTCTTAGCACCATGCTCTAACCAACAGATGATAATTACAGTAATTAAAATATGGGCTGCTAAGAGCTTCCTTTCACCTATTTTCATAGCTAAGCCTAGGAAAGTCTTAGGTTTGTATTGCAATGCATGAAAGTTGCTTGAAGTAAAGTAACAGCAATTTTGAGAACAGGGCTGCTGTATCTCATCACTCTTCTTAACGCAAATGATATATTTATTTCTTTCTAATTAATAATTTTTCAGGTTTCAGATGTCTGAGATATTCCTATTATAAAGAAAATTTCCACATTCAAGCCACTGCACACAGCTCTCCTCCTCTGTTTAAAAAAAGTACAAAAGGAGTAATTCCATTCTCTAAAAGCAACTAACCAAAAAGCGTCATGAACAGGAAGCTGAGTGGGTAGGACAGTCTGCTTTTAAAAATAACTTCTCTCTTCTACCCAGCAATAATTTTGATCTATTGCTGGAACCCAGAATAATAACTCCAGTTTATGAAGGTGCTCTTTCCTGTGCTCATTTGCTCACATTATTATCATGATAACTGAAACGAGATGATATTACAGTTACAAATGTAAAAGAATCCATACATAGTATTTTACTGAGATAATGAACCACTTAAGGGTCAAATCTTTATCTCAGACACCTCATACCTAGAGGTGTCAAACTAGAAGACTTACCAGATTCTAAATTAACACAAATTTTTCTGGGCAAAAAACTGAATGTTTGAAAACTGGTTGCTCCCATCTATTTGAATAATAATAGCCTAAAATATTAACCTATACTCCAACAGTAAAGGTATTAGTATTAATTTTCAGTTACCTAGCGAGAAAACAGCTTTTTAAAATCTGCTCTAAAATATAAAAACATAAACTCCTAATTATTTAAATGAGAACACAGTGAAGAAAGGGAGTTACAAGACTATTGCCATTGAAAACAAATACACTTAACTAAATTAAAAATTGTAATGTTACTGGTGAATTTTCTTAAAAAATCTTGGTTAATGTGAAAATACACTCTATACAAGGCCATCCAAAATTTCTTTTTATTTAAATGGCACCATTGGCCTTTCTTATGTACCATGGCTGAAATGCAAAGCTGAAAGTTCATGTAGGAATTCCTCTCCTTTTTGTTCTCTTCTTTGGAACATATCAGTCTGTGCCTTTGAGTCTGTGCCTCAAGAAATAGTAAGAAATACTGGCCAATTTCAACTGAAGAATACATAGAAGTATATTTACAAGTAGCAGAAGTACAGAACACCAGAGTTATGATTCTGGAATTGTTCCCCTTGAGGACTTTATGGCCGTCATTATCCCAGCTGAGAGTTTCTTTACTTAGCTCAACCAGAAGGTTTAAGTTTACTGGTAACAAGACACAAAAAAGCTTTTACAAGTATTTCCACTTAAAAACCAATACAAAAAGTATACTGTTGTCCTTATCAAAAGCACACTGCACACGTGTGGTTTGGCTTAAAGCACAAAAACCAAGGTACAGGCACATGCATGGCTGTGAGTTTCTGCAGTTAGTGCTTTCATTTGGCTCAACTGCAAGAACTGCAAATTTGTTCTCCAAAATTCTCCAAGCTTTGCTCACCTCTGAGACAAGGGCTTTATATACTCAACAAAATCAGGCTCTGTTTTTTTTTTTTTTTCCTACTAGCAAGCAAACTTTTTCAAGGTTATAGAAATTAGGCACTCAAAAAAAACCAGGATCTGTGCAACCAACACATTTTCCCACAAGATTCCTGCTTCACTGCTGTTGACATCAGATGTTATACAGACAATGAAACCTCATCTTTACCAGTAGAGGGGGAAAAAAATATTGACCACCAGTCTGATGTAGAAACAAAAAATATTCAGTATACACTGTATTTACTCTTGCAATTTTCAGGTTTTCCAAACAACAAAAAAATACTAGGCCATGGATGCTAAATACAGGCAGAAATGGTGGTAGGAGCCTTCAGAACGCAGTTAACAACATTAAAGAATTATCACTTATTTGTATCCACTGTCACTTATTTGTATCCCCTGTACAAGTCATGAATAGGGATATTCTGAACTCACTCCATTTGAGTCTTGTATTAACTAAGGATCTGCACAGCAGAGAATTATTTTGCTGTCTATCCATGATCCCTCTGCTAGGTATTTGTGATCTATTGCTCTCCTTATATTCCCTGTGACAGGAAGGAATCATTGTTGGTGCAAGAGTTGGTTCTGCTGTCTTTGTGCTAATGACAAATTACCATATAGACATGAGATTTTCCAGTGGGCTGACACAGTCAAATTTGGACTATTCATTTCTGGTAAAAGCCTTACAGCCATTATAAAAAGAAGAATTCTAGCACAGCTGCTCTCACCACATCTGAAGCCAGGACAGGCTGGTGTGACACTGTGTGACATATACCAAGAATCAAAAGACCTGCTCCCTCTCAACAGGAACAGCTCCTGCTCAGCTTGACACACATTCTCTAAAGATCATTCTCCAAAATTGTTGCTCTTCTACAACAAAATGCAGTATGAGAAAAATATCACCTTTCCCTGCGATGAACTCCTTCTGAAAGACTTCCTTGAGACTGCTGTTACCATGCAGCAGCCTGTGAGTTGGCAAGATATATAAATGGGAAGCTCCATAAATGGCTTCAGGCGTATAGGTGTAAGCTGCTAGCTTCTCTCCTGTTACTTCACCATTAACCTGAAAAAGAGCAGAATAATTCCCACTGAAAGTGCAGTGGTTTTAGATTCCCCTTCCTTTTTACACAACTAACAAGTCTACATCACCTTGTAGAAATACACAGATCCAAATACTGAAGCCAGACACATTCCCACTATAGGAATTTTCCAGACTCAAACCTCGACAAAACTTACTTTTAAGGCCTTGAGGAAGTTACTTTACAGTCTTGCCTCAGTTTATCTAAATATATCTATAAAAATATAATACTGAATTTATATGTAATATTGCATTGTGCTACTGAGCTAGATTCAATCCCTGGCTAAGCAACCTGGAATCCTTCTATTGGCTTTTAATATGTATGCCCTGTTTCCAAGAAACTGAAATGAGATGTTAACTTTGAAATCTAAAGAGAATTTAAGATTTTTTCAGCTACCATATGGCTTTCCACCATACCGCTCTGATGAAGTCAATGTTGCGACTTATGTACGGAAATAAACCAATAAAAGGTGGCACAACATTAAAACAACTGGACAGAAAAATGAGTAATAACCTTCAAAGACTGCTTAGGAATCACCACTTGGAACTATCAACAAGGTTTATATCTTAGGTCAACTAACTGCTGAGTGTATGGGGGTCTTAGAGGAAGATTTTTCTGTAATAAGCATTAAATTTTCAGAAATAATTGATAAAAACAACCTAAATACAAAAAGGCACCTTCTAGCAGGGTGCAAATCAGAGGTATTTAGAAGGTTTAAGCTATCTCAATTTGACGTTCCCAAAGATTCAGTATTTTAAAATAAGAAGTCACTTTTAAAATGCTAGAGCAGAGTAAATTAGCACAATAAAGCTTTGAAGCACAAGGGTTGAAATTTGATCAGTCTCTGAAAAATCTCTCCTGTCACTATCATATAAACGAAACCTTTTGCCTCTCTTCAGAAAAGTGGGAAAATCTGAAGTCCTTCTGAATACAATTATAATTTTCTTCAGGTTTATTTTTCCTTCATCTTCTTTCTTTCCATCTAGACTTCTTTATAGCTCCATCACTACCAAATGGTGTGCTTTTCTTTATTTTAATTATTGTATATAGGAAATTAAATAATTGACAAATGTAAGCAAAGTAGGTTGCCTGAGGTCAGCCTGGGTCTGACAGAGAAGATACCGTGCAGAGAGGAGCAAAAGCCCAGCTAGATCTCAGCTGACTCGCGCAGTTGATATTTCTCTTGGCACTGCTCCCTAAGTGTCCTGGCTTCCAGGAAAGCTTATTAGTTGGCATATATTTTGGCATAAATACACACAGCCAACTTGCATACATTTGAACACACAAGCCCTTTCCTAAGGAGGATAGCAAGGAGTATCCCTTCAACCCACAAGTGGTGTTCTTCAGGAATCTGTCCTGGTCTGGGCATGAATATTGTAATAACCTTTAGTAGGTTTCAAGCTTTTGATACCTGAAAATCCATTCCCACCACCAAGCATTTCAGGGGTTACAGTTAGCCCAGCCAAGATAGCAGCAACTGAAATTTCTGACTTACCTTTAGCAAGAAATCAAGCGAGCAACCAACGCAGTCACCTATCCAATTTGCTTGCATTTCTTTAATACCATACCACTCAGGGAGATCAGACAAAGCATCAAACATAGCCTAAAGCAATAAAAGAAAGAATTAGGAAAGAATTCAGCTTTTATAAGCATACAGATTAATATTATGGGTTTAGTTATAACTAACAGCAAAATGGTTAAGGTGCTGGTAGAAGAGGAGGCTCAGGGGTGACCTTATCACTCTCTACAACTACCTGAAGGAGGTGGGCATTGGCCTCTTCTCCCAGGTAACAAGTGACAGGACCAGAGGAAATGGCCTCAAGTTGCGCCAGGGGACGTTTAGATTGGATCTTAGGAAAAATTTCTTCATGGAAAGGGCTGTCAAACATTGGAAAAGGCTGCCCAGGGAAGTGCTTGAGTGATCATCTCTGCGAGTATTTAAAAAGCCCACAGACACGGTGCTTAGGGACAGGGATTAGTGATGGACTTGGCAGTGCTGGGTTACTGGTTGGACTTGAGGATCTCAAAGGTCTTTCCCAACCTAAATGATTCTATATTATGCAGCAGAGAAGAAATTAAGTGGTGTCTCCTTCAATAGTCATAATGTCCAACAGCCAACATACACTTCGACATATATTTATACTCAACAAGAGATGTATCCATATATTTATGTGCTTTCTGATGGGTGGCATGGAAGCAAAACAGACTTTCCAAATCAACTAATACTTGTCCAAACAATTTGAACATTATGATTTTAATAAATGAAGTCTATAAACAAGAAAAGGAGAAGACAAAGGGACAGATAACTCAAAGCTCATCTCATTTTTCATTTCATAACAGTTCACATTTTTGTTATGAATACTCCATGACTGTCCAAAATCTTTACTTTGGCAGAAGTACAGCCAGAGGCATGAGTCACTCGGACAGATGGTGAATATGCTGAACTATTACAGTTAAAATCTAAGAATAAGGCAACATGTTGAATAATTTCTCCTTCAGCTGTGACGCCCAACATCAAATGTGCAAGCTCTTTATTATCCCATTAATTGCTAACAACCTGCAGGGATGGACAGTAGCTCCTATGTGCGGCTCCAGCTAAACAGTAGGTAGTCAGATAATTAGTGAATGTAGAATTCAATCTTTTTCAAGAATGTGTTTCAAGTTGTGTTTTAATGACATTCTTAAGTAATTTCAAAGTGAAATGCATAAAAGATACTGTAAGAATTATTTTCTAGCTACTGCTCTGTAATATATCTATCATTCAGAATACAACAAAAGGCATGTCCTTCATAAATCATAACATCACACTACCACTTGGGACTATTATTGCTTTCTACATCTTTAAGAATCAAACTGATTTATTGATGATTTATAAATTAAATAATTTTATTTTTTTGAAGGTTTTATTGTTTTGGAAGGTTTTATTGTTTCGGAAGGTTTTTTTTATAGTGTAACTTTAACCAGTTTTAGCTCACAGTTGCAAACATACTATATCACAGAGAATTCCAAGCTCTCAATATTCTCACTAATTGCAGTATTGTTACAGAGACTACTGAGCTTTATCTGCCATGAACCATCCATGTACATATATATATCTACCAAAGAATAATGAGTAGCTAGAGGTATATATATAGACATATATACACAATTCTTGGATATATTCTTTTCAAGAATTTTATGCCTTTTAGAAAGAATGAAATTGTGCCAATGCATGCAGAACTGGCTGGACACATCAGTACATTTTTATAAATCCTCCTGCTTGGATATTCATTCAAATTTACATTACATTTTGCTGGCAGAAGCAGCTAAATGTGCATGTGCTCTGCTGAAACTGTACAGTCTGTAATTCCTTGCCAGCAAAACTTTCTATATGTTTTTTCACTGCAGGATTAATACATCGAGATCATCCATACCAGTTTGATAATGATTTTACTCTAATTCATTGGCCTTATTATAAGCTATAGGCCACAGTTTAACTTTGTCCAGTCCTTCTCTTGATAATGCAATTGCTTGCTGCAGTTAATTACAGTAAGAGCCAACTTGACTTCACCTCAGTGAAGACAACTAAACTTATTCTGCGTGATGACACAGCCTAGCAGGGTTTGCAATCACAAACCCTTCACATTTTAATTTGCATATAAACAGTAGTATAGTGTGATACAAAAAAACACAACCCACAAACAAGAAAAACCTTAAAAAATTTTAATATGGAATTGTGTTTCACAGTTCTTCATACTCAATGCATTACCTTGGTTTCTTGTAATGGTTACAAATAGCAGACGAAGCAGAAAATGAACATGTAAACTACAAACACTTTATCTAGTGTCACAGAGGCAAAAAATATAGAGAATGTATACTGATAGCATGTTAATAAGTGTTTCTGAATGGTAAATTAAACTAGGATACTCACTAGTAGGAAAGCAGAGAAATATTAACTCTTACACGCATGAATGCACTTGTACATTCGAAATTCATCCATGCAAATTAGGAGCTTTTAAAAAATTGCTTAATGAAAATCCTTTAAAAAAAATTCATTTTCAAATCCAATTGCATCCTGCAAAAATAGAAACCCATAAATATATGTTAAAACTGTTATTAGTTTTAAAAAATTGCAGGTTGACTGTTTGGGTATACGAAACTCTTGACCAACACTAGCATAGAAATTCCTGAATATCATAAGCTAGTGTTTGGAAAGTAAAATACTAACTTCATGAATTTTGTTTCCATGTTCTTTTTTAAAATCACTGCCATGTTTGGTAAAACATCTGAATCGTTGAATTAGCCCCATGAATTCTGCAATTTGCCAGCCCTGGCAGTGTTCAAGGACAAGGCTGGATGGGGCCCTGAGCCACCTGGTCTAGTGGGAGGTGTCCCTGCCCACAGCAAGGGCTGTTGGGACTAGATGATCTTTAAGGCACATTCTAACCCCTTAACATGTTTCCTTAAACAAAAATTCTGATCCTTAATGACATGTATATAAATCCTAGTTATCATGCCACAAGTTTATTAACCAGGTTTGTTAACACAGAGAAGACAATTGACAAGAAGATTCTCAGCACACAGGAAAATGAAGTAAAACCATGTTGGATTGTGGAGGAGGCAAAGAACAGCAGCAGCATTACGATCCAGTAAGTAGAGACTGATAAGATTATCAAATAAACTCAATTTTCAAACTTCTGATGATGACTTAATAGTAAGAAATTTGGAAACATTAGGTAGCATAGCCCTTCTGCTTTCATTTTTCATTACTCAGGAAGAGACAAGAAAACTTCGAATGCAAATGTCTAATTACAGGAGAAATTACTCCCATCTTAATTAAACACAAGTCAGGGAATAGCATAAATACATTTTGGCAGTCTTTCAGATCTAAAGATAGACAGCCTGAGGAAAAAGCTAAAGAATTCAAAGCTATGTTCAGGGATGAGAAAGACTTCAAGGCTCTAATACCTGGAGAAGATGAAGACTCAGGATAAACTAATGTTTCACAGGACCGCTTTACTCTTTCAGAACACACAGAAAGTTCTGGCACAGCTAGAAGATGAAAGTCAACCAGCTCAGATGATCAGAAAGTCACAAAGCCAAGATGAGTTTGCTGAAATTTCATCACAGACAATGATGACCAAGTCTGAAACTAGAAGTAACGCATTCGCACGTGGAAAACAGATCTCACATATCGAGCTGTTTAGTCTGCTGAAGATTATGCCAGAAACAGAACTTCAGTTAAGCAATCTTCAGGCAAAAAAGTGTCCATAAAACCCCTGCTTGTAGTTCAAAGAGGGAGGATTCTGCTGAGCATCTAAAAAATTCAACCTCTGACTTTGTGAACTAAAATTTTTAGTAGATCAATACTTGCTATGATTTCATAGCAAGAGTATTTCAACTCTTCTATAATTGTAAATGAAAAAAAGTGAAAAATCTAAACATAAGCTATGAAGTCAAATGTATACTCTTTTTTCAGTGAAGACACTTTAATGAAGTTTGACATATTTGCAAGAAAACAAGACTAAAATAAAAAGGTCAGCAAAAGGTTGCATTTCAAAAGAATTCAATTCATTAGCAAAATAAAATTGCATTCTACTGTATTACAATAAAATTAAAAAGCTTTTTTTCTGAGGAAAAGTCAAATAAATATGCAAGCTCTGTTTGGATTAAAATTAAATTCTTCACTTTATTTGATCAAACTCCCAAAAGAGTATCCAAACATTAAAATAAAGATTACATGAAATCATTTAATACAACTCAATATATTAACTAAAGTAGAGAAAATTAAAGTTGGGCTGCCCACTGTTTTATTTTGCACTCTATTGCACAGTTCCAACTGTGATTATGCGGTACAGCTTCTGCTGGTATTTAATCTCTTCTTGTTTTATTACTTTTTTTTCCTCCAGTATTTTCTGTCTGTACTATTGTAGGTCACTCTTGACTTTTATTTCCCATGTGTGAAGAATACTGAAAACATACATTAAATAGGAGCAATAACATAGATACTGTTTATACTCCAAATTCTTTCTCATAAATGCCTGGACTGTCAGCAGTTTTCCATTTCTTTACCCTAAAATTTATGGGCACCAAACACCTCTGATTTGATTATGTAGAAGTGAGGCAAATAAATAATTCCTCAAAGGCAAAAAGTAAAGCCATCATTATTCTCCAGATTTGCTCTTCAGGGCTGTTCTCTGCTTAAATTACCAAAGTGAAGACACTCCCTTTTCAATATGATGAAGAGTATCTTTGTGATGAGTAATTGATTTCATAAATATAAAAGCTCTTTAAAAATATTTGTTATCATTTTTAGTAGTAATGAGCATTCACTGTTTTGATTTATCTTATATCAACAGGAACTTAAATTGATTTGATGATATTGCTGTATCATCAAATGAGATGCAGTGTTTAAACAAAGGTGAAAAGACCAGCCTGGTCTGGATATCCACAAACAACTTTCTGTCTCGCCAAGCTGACAAAATAGGTGCAATTTTTTATTAATGAAGTGCTAAGCAAGCTGAGGAGGCAGTGCTCTTAGTCCCTGTCCAGAAGAGAGCTCTCAGCATGACTCAAGAGGAAGAGTTTCAAAGTGAGGTTTATCAGGCCTGTTCTGTTGGAAGA